AAATAGCCTAAACGGTTACGTATCCACTGTTGTTTGGTTCAATAGGTCGAGGAGTTTTCTTCCTACTTTTATTTGGTCGGAATAATAATTCCTATGTGTGTGTGTGTATATATATATGTGTGTGTGTGTGTGTGTGTGTGTGTGTGTGTGTGTGTGTGTGTGTATGTATCACATATCATATCACATTTTCTTTATCCATTTGTCCCTAGATGGACCCATATGTTGCTTCCATGTCCTGCCTGTTATAAATAATGCTGCAGTGAACATGGGATGCAGTTATCTTTTCAAGACAGTTGTTTCATTTCCTTTGGATATATGCCCAGAAGTAGGATTGCTGGATCATATGGTAGTTCTAGTTTTAATTTTTTGAGGAACCTCCATACTATTTCCATAGGGACTGTACCAATTTGCATTCCCACCAACAGTGCAGGAGGGCTCCCTTTTCTCCACATCCTCTCCAGCACTTATCTTTTATCTTTTTGATAATAGCCATTCTAACAAGTGTGAAGTGATATCTCACTGTGGTTTTGATTTGCATTTCCCTGATAATTAGTGCTGTTGAGCACGTTTTCACGTACCTGTTGGCCATTTGTGTATCTTCTTTGGAAAAATGTCTATTCAGATCCTCTGCCCATTTGTTAATCAGATTTTTTTTTTTTTTTTGCTGTTGAGTTGTATGAGTTCCTTATATATTTTGGATATTAACCCCTTATCAAATATATGATTTGGGGGTATCTCTCTACTTGTTAGATGGGATGCTGCCCGATTCATGAGTTGTTGAATAAAGCCAATTAATTTCAAATTAAAAAAAATCAGACATGTGACTTACAAATGTTTTCTCCCATTCCACAGGTTGCCTCTTCATTTTGTTAATTGTTTCTTTTACTGGGCAGAATCTTTTTAATTTGATGTTGTCCCACTTGTTGCTTGTGCTTTGAGTGCCTTATCCAAAAAATCATTGTCAAGACCAATGTCAAGGAGTCTTTGCCCTATTTTTCTTGTAGGAGTTTTATAGTTTCAGATGTTTCCATTTGGAGTTAATTTTTATGAACGGTATAAGATGGGGTCCCGTTTCATTCTTCTGGATGTGAATATCCGGTTTTCCCAACACTGTTAATTGAAGAGACTGTCTTTTCCTCAATGAGTATTCTTGGCTCCTTTGTCTGCAGAGTATTTTGTAGTTCCATATGAATTTTAGGATTGGTTTTTTTTATTTCCATAAAAAAAGGCCATTGGAATTTTAATAGAGATTGCCTTGAATCTAGAGATAGCTTTGGAGAGTATGGGTATTTTGACAGTATTAATGCTTTTGATCCATAAACTTGGGATATCTTTGCATTTATTTGTGTCTTCTTCAATTTATTTTTATTAATATTGTATAGTTTTCAGTGTACAGATCTTTACTTCCTTGGGTAAATTTATTCTTAAATATTTTATTGTTTTTGATGCTGTTGTGAATGGGACTGTTTACATCTTTTTCAGGTATTTTGTTGTTGGTGTAGAGAAACACAGTTGATTTCTGTATGTTGATTTTGTAACCTGCAACTTTACTGAATTCATTTATTAGCTCTAGTAGTTTTTCAGTGGAATCTTAGGGTTTTCTGTGTGTAAGATCATGTCATCTGCAAACAGAGGCAGTTTTACTCCTTCCTTTTCAATTCAGATGCCTTTTTTTTCTTTTTCTTTCTCTTGCCTGACTGCTCTATCTAGGACTTCTAGGCTGTGTTGAATAGCAATAGTAAGAGTGGGCACCCTTGTCTTATTCCTGATCTTAAAGGAAAAACTTTCAGCCTTTTACCATTGAGTACAGTGTTAGCCGTGGGTTTGTCATATATGGCCTTTTTCTATGCAGAGGTATGTTCCTTCTGTACGCAACTTGTTGAGAGTTTTTATCATGAATGGATGTTGAATTTTGTCAGATGCTTTTTTTGCATCTATTGAGATTATCATATGACCTTTATCTTTCATTTATTAATGGGATGTACCATATTTATTGATTTGCATACACTGATGAACCCCACTTGATCATGGTGCATGATCCTTATAATGTGCTGTTGAATTTAGTTTGCTAATATTTTGTTGAGAATTTTTACGTCTGTATTCCTTAGAGATATTGGCCTGTAGTTTTCTGTTCTTGCAGTGTCTTTGTCCGGCTTTGGTATTAGGGTAACACTGGTCTCATAAAAATTGAGAGTGTTCCCTCCTCTTCAGTTTTTTGGAAAATTTTGAGAAGAATTGGCATTAATTCTTGTTGAAATGTTGGGTAGAATTCATCAGTGAAACCATCTGGTCCTGGGCTTTTCTTTGCTGGAAAGTTTGTGTTTACTGCATCAATTCCTTTACTCATTATTAGTCTGTTCACATTTTATATTTTTTCATGATCCAGTCTTGGTAGGTTGTATGTTTCTAGGAATTTATCCATTTCTTCTAGTTCATCCAATTTGATGGCATATAAATGTTCATGATAGTCTCTTTTGACCCTCTGTATTTCTGTGATATCTGATTAATATCTTCTCTTTCATTTATAATTTTTATTTGAGTCTTCTCTTTCTTCTTTAGTCCAGCTAAAAATTTGTCAATTTTGTTTATCTTTTCAAAGAACCAGCTCTTCCATGTATTTGTGAATTTTCTGACTTTCTTCCTATTATTGATTCTAGTTTCATACCATTGTGGTCAAAAAAGATACTTGATAAAAATTCTATCTTCTTGAATTTATTAAGGCTTGTTTTGTGACCTAGCAAATTATCTGTCCTAGAAAATGTTCTGTATGTGCTTGAGAAGAATGTGTGTTCTGCTGCCGCTGGATGGAATGTTCTATGCGGATTTGTTAGGTCCATTTGGCCTACAGTGTTATTCAGATCTGCCGTTTCTTTATTGATTCCTGTTTGGGTGATCTATCTCTTGCTGAGAGTGGGCTATTAAAGAATTTATGAAATATATTATCCCAAGAGCAGTGGCTCTCAACTGGGAGTGATTGTGCCCTCCAGGATACATTTGGCAATGTCCGGAGGCATGTCTGGTTGTCACAGCTGGTGAGGAAGGGCATGGCTGTTGCTGCTGGTCTCTAGGGAGTAGAGGGTAGAGATGCTGCTGAACATCCTGCTATACTTGGGATAACCCCCCACATCAAAGAATTATCTGGACCAAAGATGGCAATAGTGCCAAGGTTGAGATACTCTGCCCTTGAAGAGCAGGTAGAAAGTGTTAATAGATTCCAGAGGGGATTGGCTAGAGCCATTACTAATTTGAGAGTGCCAGGGAGGTACCTAACACTTAACGTTTGATGTTGGGGGGACAACAGCGCCCTCCCATGACCTGCTGGAGCTGGTTGCTAGCAGTTCTAGACTGTAGACGTGGCAGTCCTGTGTTCCGTGTATCCTCCTTGCCCCTTTGAGAAGACTTTGAGCGAGACGAAGCACGTTGGTTATTCTGCACAGAGGAACTTTCACTTCACCTATTTTTCCTTCCCGTCAAGAAAGTGCTGTGGGGATTCTGGGATCCGGAATGGGGTAACGACCTTATTAGGAGGACCAGAATAAATCCTGAGCAGCGCAGGCAAGGCTGAGCGCTCCGCGCAAGGGCATCCGGCGACGTGGGCTTCCGCAAGCTAGCGGTTTCTGTTACCTTTCAGGTGGTAAATGTGTCGAGGCTCGAGGGAGATGACGATCCCGTGCAGCTCATCTACTTCGTGGAGGACCAAGACGGAGAAAGACTCAGTGCAGTCAAGTCTTCAGATCTGATTAACAAGATAGATGTCCAGAGAGCGGCCATCATCCTGGGTTACCGGATTCAGGGCGCCATCGCCCAGCGTAAGTGCGTCCGGCTCGGCCCCGCGCAGGCGTCTGAGCTGTGCTGCCGTGTGGAGAGCCTGTTCTTTTTCTGACAGTGAGCTCTGAGTTTTCAAGCATTCTTATGTGTGTCTGGTAGATTTGTCTTAAATCCTTATTATTAAGTGGCACTTACATAAGGTGTCAGTTGTTAAAATGAACTTGCCAAGACCTTCTTTATTTCAATTGCTTGTTGTTGTAGCCTTCACGGCTGTCTTTCTACCGTTTTATATTCGTAGTGTTATAGTGAGTTAGAGTAGTTTCAGTTAACTCTAATATTTTTTCCCCCAGCTCCTGTACTATTTCTCTTTTAAGAATTTTGTCTTAGGCAGAAGAACGTGTTTTCCCTGTATTTATTCCAGAACTCTTCCATGTCATGTTTTGAACGTGGGTGGGGACAGTGAGTCAGGCAGGAAGCTGAGAGGGACCCTCTGCATTTGTTGGCTTCCTTCTGGGTCTTTTAACACAAAGAGGTCCTTGATCCGTACCCTTTTCAGTCCTGTGTCTCTTCTACCCTGTCCTCACACCACTCACAATTTAGAAAGAGTTACTTTGATATTTCTGTATTATTGTTGGAAGAGTCTAGACTCCTGCCCCCAGCAACAGCTGCGCTCAGTGCCTCTTTTTTTTTTTTTTTTTAATCCAACTTGCAGATTTTGGGTATTTAAAACTAAGAAAAGGCAAGGAATGGAAGAGTATGTTTCTCTAAGTATGCCTTTATGAATCGGACTTCTCTTTCAGTGTGGATGTTTTTCCTTTATGATCCTGGGAGCAGTTCTTGTAAGAGCTCAGTGAATCTTGCTCCCAACTGGAAAGGGATAAATAAATGTTTAGAAGGAATTCAGCATCAGAGGCTATAGGAAAACTCCCAAAGAGCACATCTAGGCCACTAAGGCAGTTTTTAAAAACGATACCTTTAAAATTATCCTCACGAGTGGAATGTTCTTTGTCATGTGTGTACTTGCCCCTGGAAGCTAACAAGGATGAAGACCCATGGGCACACTTACTCTGTTTTATATGTGATGATAGGAGAGTTTAAACAAATAACCATTGGTGGTTTGTGTTTGTATATTTGAAATAGAACTGTATATTCGTGTGTCCTGTTTCAAAGCAGTGAGAACAAAGTACTGAAGCACTGACTTATATTTCTTCATACATGACATTTCTGATTGTTGGAGAGGTGCCCCACTCCCGCTAAGCAGTTCACTTCTTAAAAAAGATTAATTGCAATAGGCTATGGGCACCTTTCAAGGCCACTTCCATCTGCTCGTGCACCTCTGTTTCTCAGTTTTGTGCTAAAAACCACAGGGAACACAATCCTGGGATTGGGAGCCCCAGCCAATACCAGGGCCAGGCCCAGAGCAGCTGTGGTCCTGATGTCAGGCCCTCGTTTTCATGAGTGTGTGCCTCTCACAGGGTTTTACCAGGTTAGAACTAAAAAGAATATCCAGTTGTCCCAGCCCCTCAGTTTGATTCTGTCACTCCTGTATTGTCTGTAAGCTGCTTTCATGCAAAATGAACTACATATATCAACTATATTCAGACCAAATTTAAAAATACAAATTTTTAACTTTTTGTAACGTGTCCCGCATAGTCCCTGCTCTGTAATTTGTGCTTCTTTCATAGGGTGTGTGCTTTAGAGAGCTTGCTCCCCTCCCTGGTCACTCTCTGAGAGGCCTAACCCCAAATTTAAACCAGCACCAAGAATCTCTTTTATTGTTACATCTTTGAGGAGAAACATTCTGACCCCAGAGCATGTTTTCACCATGATAGGAAGTGAAAAGAATGGAAACCTTAGTCCCTGCCCAGGAAGACCGGGATGTATTTGAAAAGACAAGACTTAGATTCGTGACCACATTTATGAGCAAAGTAGTATAGTTGATCCAGGTGAGACATTCATGTCATAAAACGCATTTTAAAGGAATAGCGAGGTACCGGTTTCAAGATAGTGACAAGCCAGAACAAAAGAGCTCAGATGAGAGGAACCTAGGGTTGTCGTGGAGGGGTCATCCTGAAGTGGCCAGAATGGATGAGAAAGCTGGGCAGAGAAAGGGGAGCATTTTGGTTTTCAGAGCCTGGTGATTGGAAGCTGAGCTTTAAGAGGACTGGGAGCAGTTGAGCTTTTAAGAAGAGCTGAATCCTGGGGAAGGATGAGTACAGAATGAAGAGGAGTGGGGAGCCCAGTGCTGGGAGGCAGGGCGAGGGAAAGGAGCTGGTGAAGATTAAGAAGGACTGAGTGATGGAAGCATGATTGTCCAAGGCCATGAGCGATGGGGCCAGGGCAGGGGTGGGGATGGGGAGTGGCAGATTCAAAATAAGTAAGTTGATTTAATGTAACTTTAAAATTGACAATGGGTACTGTAAGTAATGCAGTTTCCATTAAAAGCTGTGTTTCAAGGGTTTAGGGAGAGACACAGGTGAGGAAATGAAGGTAGTGCTCGTAGACTGCTCACTGGGACTTCTGATTTTTGGTATGGAAGTGTTCCTGCAGTGAGAATTTAGAGAGGCATCTGGTAAAATAAACTGTAAGTCAGGAGACCTGAAATAAACGTCATTTTGCTATTGAATTAGCCACGTTCCTTGAGGCACCACTCACATGTCACTATGATCCCTGCTGTATTGTCCATGTAACATTGCGTGTGGTGTTTGTTGACTGCAGCCCATTTCCTGTCATCAGGAGATCACAGCTCCTTGCCAGTTGTCCTGAGCTGGAATGACAGGGCTTCCAGGGTTACACTCACTGTCCAGAAGGGCTGCCAGTGAGGAGTGCAGAGGAGTCACTGAAAGACCTTTCTTTCTTGTCTGCAGCCGTGGACAGGGTGAAGAGGCCGTCCCCCGAGTCCCAGAGCAGCAACCTCTGGGTCATCGTGGGCGTGGTCATCCCTGTGCTGGTGGTGATGGTGATCGTCATCATCCTCTACTGGAAGCTCTGCCGCACGGACAAACTGGACTTTCAGCCAGACACCGTGGCCAACATTCAGCAGCGTCAGAAGGTGAGACCCTCCCAGTGTTCATGTCAGCATCCTGGGAGCTGGGGCAGGGTGAGTTCAGGCTCCTGAGCCTGAAGGACAGGGGAGAGCTAGAAAGGAAATCATCCTGTGTTAGTGGTGGTGTCCCTTTGTCTCCAGGTTCGCTTACTGAAACCCAGCTCTTCTGTAATATTAAATGCATGCCAAGAAAATGAAGCCGTGTGAAGGCTTAGCAATGCTATGAGCCCTGAGTTCCACTGTGATTTTATTTTTGAGATGCTCAGTTAGAGGGTCACATCCATTCTGTATATAAATTCTGATCTATTTTAACCCTGAATATTTTCAGAGAACAGGAGGCAAAGGTTTTCTTTGATCTATGTGTCTGTTTCCTTATACACCACTCTGCTGGACGGCTCCTTTTTTTCCTTCCACCATATTGCAAGCCTGTTTATCCACTTTGATCAAGACCACTTAATCATTAAAAAAATGATAATACACGCCTTAGATGTTTTAACTTAATATATATATGTGAGTCTTTTTTAAAAAATTTTTTGAGGGAGGTAATTAGGTTTATTTATCTATTTATTTATTTATTTACTTAATGGAGGTCCGGGGGATTGAACCCAGGACCTTGTGCATGCTAAGCATGCGCTCTACCGATTGAGCTATACTCTCTCCTCTATATAAGTTGAGTATTTGCCAATCTTTCTAAAAAAATTCTTGAGAGCGTCTGTCTACTGAAAGGAATTCTGTGTGGTCTTTCTTATAAGAAACATCAGCTGTAGTTTCCAGTCTTGAGAGAAGAGCAAAGCAACCTGAGTGCAAAATTTTCTAGCCTTTTTCAGTATCTCCCAACCCCACCATCCTCTGAGATCTTTAGAGTTAATTCACCTACACCTAACTTGACAGCAGTCTTTTGTCTTTTTTAGCAGCTCCTTTTCCATGTCTTTCCAAAGTATTCAATTTAGTGTTTACAGTAACAGCAATTCTCTTCCCACACTGATGTTCCAACTGTTTCTGCAATATTTAATTGTCACCTACAAGTTTCAGAGCAAAGACGTAGCCTCTTGGTCAGCATCTGGCTGCCCTGGTGGAGTGAGAACGTGCCAAGTAGAGAAAAGCGCTCATGTGGCGTGGATGCTGAGTGCAGCACGCAGCTCAGCCACGCCAAGGGCGTTGGGAAGTGCTCCTCACTGAGGATATTTATTACCATGTACCTGCTTGGGGTCTCCCAAATTTCAAGGACTCACTCAGCTCTACAAGTTTGACAAGAAAAAGCAAGCAAGAGGCAGAAGAAATAGAGGACCATGCCCCACTGACCTTTTAACTTTACTGATTTTCTGGGTATAAAACAATTCTGCACGTTACAAGCTGAGAGACCCGCTGAATGAAAAAACTAAGTCTTCTTTTAAAATGTACTTTATTTTTGTAAAAGTAAATGAAGAGTATTCTTTTTCTTATGAATTAACTAAGAAATGCAAACTCTTGTTTATATTGCAAGCTGATGGTTATCCAGTATTTTGGAAGCAGTTTATACGTTAAGATTATGTTCGTTACCTGTCTTCATTTATTATTTACATAGTCTGCTTAGGTTGTTTTGTTGTTAGGCTGGTGAATAGCATGGAAAAAACCTGGAAAAAAGTCCGTGATATACTAAATGATTCATGGTGTGAATTTCATTGTAATGAGATCGACAGTGTTTTTGTCCTGGTGAAAGAGTATTGTTACAGAGAGATTTAACCAGCAGAGACAGTTATGTATCTAGGTCTTTTATGTTCCGTGCTTCCTAACATAAAGACCCCTGTGGAAGCCTTTCCATTATCTGTTACTTCAAAAACGATCAGAGGACAGCATCCGTCAAGTTCACCACAGGCTGTTCAAGCTTTCAGCTTCTCCCACTTTTACTTCCAAAATACTCTCTTGTCCCAGGTGTTGCTGTACATCAGATAGACAGTTTCCAGCAGAACTTCCAGCCTGTGGAGTTGCTCTTTTTCTGCAAGTGCTGTGTAGATTTGTGCATTCATTTTTACAGCATCTTTGCAGGAAAGATCTTCTGCGTGAAGGATTCCCTGAGAGAACAGGTGTCTTCTGACACCGTGAGGAGGGTTAGCACAGGGTCTTTGGCTGGCACAGGAACCTACAGTGCAGATCTTGTCGTGTTTTTATAATAGGAAAATGGTGCTGTCTATATAGTTTAAAAATAAATATCTGTACTTTCATAAGCAATTCTTCTAAGATTGTCTGGCAATAGCAAAAGGCCTCTGGCCTCTTCCTTAGGGCACTTTGAAAAGATACTGTCTTCCCCTGTGACTGCAAGAGCTCCTTTCCTTCTTGTGTGGCTGTTTCTTCTCTGGCCATTCTGCCCACCCCGCCCCCCGAGGCTGCTTCACCGCTACTCTCTGAAATCTTTCAGCAAATCCCAGAGCTGCAAACATCTGGAAGCAATAAATCTGCTGACCGAAAATCCACACCACCCCCCCTCCTTCTTGTGAGGCAAGGGGAACCTCTTCAGTTGTCTGGGAGTAGATTAGTTTTGAAATATGATGAGGGAGAGAGGCCATCCTGTTCTATTTTGAGTCAGGGTCTTTTAAAGTTTCTGTTGATAAAGTAAGAAAAAAACCCCTAACTGTGTCTTTCCTTTATCTGTTTTCTCTTTAATCCGTAGTCCAAAGGCACCGCTTTTTACTGCTACCAGTAAAATTGCAGCTTGGATCCGCCTCGCCCTGTTGAGGTTCTATTTAAAGATATGAATGGCGTTGGTTTGATGCTCCTGGTCCTGTGGAAGCCTGTTCCTTCTGATGGGGACAGTCCACACCCCGTGGTTGGCCCGGGACCTTGGTTTCTGGCTGGCTGGCACTGTGGGCAGCCAGGGTGAGCTGCCTCGAACGCTGCATGTTCATTTACCAAACACTGAACATTTGCTCTCAGCCAAGCAGGGCCAGATTGGATGACAAGCCCAGAAAACACACATTCCCTGCCTAGGGTTGCTTCCATAAGTGGGGTGGACAAGGGGTCGAAAAGCTGACGTGCAGCAGTGAGTCTGTCTAGGGCATTGTGGGAGCACAGGGCTGGGGCAGCCACCTCAGTGTCTTCCGAGGGGACAGTGTTGGGGCTGAGGCTTAGGTGGAGAAGGTGAAGGCCGATGAAGTGGCCCAGGCAGGGGGGATCCATGAACCTTGGGAAGGGTGGACCGAAGGTGAATGGAAGGAAGGGCATAGCCCAAACTAGGCGACGGAAGGAGGCAAGAGCCAGGCTCAGAGGGGTTTACAGGACGTATCAGGGGTCGGAGGGGATGCTGTAGATCCTGGGGAGCCACTGAAGGGTTTTCTGCTGGAGAGCAGCCTGAGCATACTGGTGTTTGGAGCAGGCACCATGGGGGCAGTGTGGTCAACTGGTTTAAGAGAAGCTCGATGAGCCTTTCTTCCCTCTCGGCCAAGGTCAGCTCATCCCTTTGCTATAGGGGTCCCTGTAATACCTGATAAGTTGGTGGTTCCAGTGTGCCTGCGGTCAGCTGACCATGACTTGCTGAGGCCTGGGGATGGGGGAATCTTGGAGGACTGCTCCCTCAACGCCTAGATCTCAGGGTGACCAGAGGCCCCCTGCTGGGCTGCACTGGAGACCCACAGATGCCATAAGTTCTCCATGTCTTCACCTCCTGAAAGGAAACAGCATGGCGGCTATGGTGATGATCACATCCGTCAAATAGCAGAAATGTGTAAATGGCACTCTCTTCGAGATTGCGCGTTTTTATTTGGATGCTTTTGGGATTTGCCCTGTGGTTTCTGTTGTCATCTTAACTGCTCCTTCCCAGGGGTTCAGGTGACCCGAGTACTGGGGACTTGACTCTGTCTTGTTCCATATGGGTCGTATTATATTTATGGCTCCTACGTCTTGAAATTCATCCAGTGTCCCTCCTGTTACACAGCTGACCTGCTCTACCAGCCCACCCTGACTTGTGTTCCTGTGGGGCACAGACAAGATGGTCTGTCCCCTCTGTGACTTAGTAAAGAAAAAAGGAGCAAAAGAGCCATCTTTCCTCCGAAGTGACGGGGTCCTAATAGGAATGTTGAAGGTGCTAGTTAATGGTGACTCTTTCATAAAATACTGATTGAAGCTTATTCTAAATGTGGACACGGGACACGTAATACAGCCAGACTTAACTCTCGGTTTTTTTTTTTAAGACATGGAAAAACTAGAAGAAGTGTTCCAGAAAATAGGGCTGAAACAGAAGGAGCTCATTCCGTAAGTGAAGGGGACAGTGTTTCCTCTAAGTTTTCCCTTCTGTGCGTAGACGGCTTTTGTTCTGTGTGTAAGCACAGACTGGCTGCCCAATTTCTATTGTTGTAGAAGGTGATGAGTCACCCAGCCTGGGAGAAGTGCAGGGATCTCATGGGTGTATTTAAAGATATTAGTCAGAATTAACAAGCCAACAGGACTTCGAGTCTGTAATGGATGCACTTCTCATTTATGACATCTACTCTTCTCTTGGTTCCCCACAAAATCCTGCAAGTTTGCGACTTCAGCCGACCTTTTTGAAATTCATTCAGTCATCAAATATTGATTTTGTGGGTCTACCACGTGTCACGTCCTGTAGCCGAATTACAAAGTTTTGCATCTAAATTTGTATGTTTAGCTTTATCTGATCCCTAGAACTCTTAGCTGCTTATTTGTATTAACTGCTTGATATTTCACCAACCAACAGCGATAACATTGCTGTCCATCTCATTTGTATGGTGCCTTGGCATTTATGAAAAAGCACTTCTACCCTTCTAGATTTTTCTGGCTGGTCTAAGAACTAAATTGACATGACATTAGTAAGAGAAAATTAAACAAAGGTTTAATAACATGTATCCATGCGAGAGACCCAGGAGAACGGAGTGACTCACCAAGCCCTCGCCTTAAATACCACCTTCGCTAAAGACAAAACAAGGTGTTGGGGGTAGTGGTTTGGGACTTCAAAGGGGAGGAAGACAGTTCATGTGGAGATGGAAAAGCAAGTGTTTGGTAAATGAATGCTTGTGGGTCAAAGTTTCTTCCTGAGTCTTTTGGGCCTTGATTGTTTTCAGCCTCAAATAACTCGAATGCCAAAGAGACATTTGGGGATGGCAAATTTTGTTCTTCCACAACATAGACACATGTATGTTTCTTACATGAACCCTGAGACACTTAGCTCCTGGACTTGGGCACACAGACTGCACCAAGGAGGCAGTGCTGTTCATGTTTTCCCCTTGTTTACTCTGGAGACCTTTGCTTAGAGGAGGCTGTCTTTGGCTCCTCCTTTAATTAAGAAAAAATTTGGGGTGGAGAGATAATCAAGTTTATGTCTGTCTGTCTGTCTGTCTGTCTGTCTGTCTATCTACCTACCTACCTACATAATCTATTTAAATGGCGGTACAGGGATTAAACCCAGGACCTCATGCATGCTAAGTGTACACTCTACCACTGAGCTATACCCTCCCCACATCCGCTTTCAATTTCGATAAAGCAAGCCATCTAACTTGCGAAAGAGAGGGTGTTGATGGTGATGATTCGATGACTATTGATTGTATCCATTATTCTTTTATTTAGAGGCACCTTATTGAGTTAAAATGAGGTACAGCCAGGGTAAAAGCTGCTGCAAGGGTAAGAGATGTGCCTTTCTTCTGCAAAGGAGGAGGATTCTTATGAAAGGAGAAAGGAGAAGCCAGAAATGTATATACAGAGATTGTCTGCTGGAATTTGATTCCCTTAAAAGAGCTTCTTGCCCCTAGGAAAGTGTACACGCCCGAGATTTGGGGAGCCCAGCTGAAGATGGCTGGGGAGTGGGGGTAGTTGTGGAGCTGCAGGTTTGGGAAACAGCGCTTTTGAGCCGAGGGCTGTGTGCCACTCACAGTCTGAAGTAGACTGCTTGTAACACAACATCATTAATTTAGAAAACAGAGGCACGCCAGACTTTGCCTTTTGTTTCAGAGCAACATCTCTGTAAACTCTGTTTGCAGTAAGTTCTGTCCCCCTCTGCTGGCATAAGTCATTATTGCAGACTACTTTCTTTCCCATCCGTCCTGGATTTTCAGGGCTAAAAAGACCTTAGAGATCACAAATCTAAGCCATTGACATTGTCACTCATCTGTGCGTAAAGTTAGCCCAAATACCTTTTGCTCCTACACACAGTGTAATGTCTAGAACAGCTCCTTTGATGGGTTGGCCTTTGTCTTCTGGGTGACAGGACTATCTGTGGGTGTGGAATACAGCCTGGTGGGAGGGCTTCGAGGACCCTTCGCCTTCCTGCCGAGGAGACCTTGGGACAACTACTGATACCTGGTTCATTTTCCTCTACTCTGCAGGTTTGAATAAAGGAAACTGTTAAATCCCACCCCTGCCACTTTCAGTGTCACCAAAATGATGCCTCACCATTATTGCCCCCATTTCTATATCCTTTCAGGCACCTTCCTGTCTTAGTGCAGGCTCGCAGCTGAACCTGGACCCTGTGGACTTGCATGGCACGTGGTCATGCTGCTGTGACAGCGGGCAGGGATTGTCTTGTGATGCCTTTTGTATTATGATCTATTTAATCCTGGTACTTTAATCCTTAGTGAGGATCTGTCTTTTCTGCGAACTCTAGGTATAAATGACACCTTGTACAGGTAGTCATTTTAGAGACACACGTTGAGTTGGATGGGTGTAATCACAAGTACCGTCTTGGGTCAGAGATTGGCACTCACAGTCTTGCCGGCCCCCACGATCTCCTGTGACAGCCCTCAGATTCCGACTGACTGTCTCGCCTGTGTGTGTGTGTACGTGTGTGTCTGTTTCAGTTGCAGATCCCTAGCGTGAAGGGCTTCGACTTTGCTAAGCAGCACCTGGGTCAGCACAATAAAGATGACATACTGATTATCCACGAGCCAGCACCACTGCCGGGGCCCGTGAAGGACCACACCACGCCCTCCGAGAACGGAGATGTGCCGAGCCCCAAGGCGAAGATCCCTTCCAAGAACATCCGTCACAGAGGAAGGTTCTTATTGGGCTTTCTGTGTTGTTCTCTGTTGCTCTGCGTGTTTCTGTTTTCTGTTTGTCAGTTTCCAATAGCAGAAGAGCTGGCGGCAAGTGTCGCCCGGGTCTGCAGCCCTGAAGACTGACGACATGTTGCCCAAAGTCAACGAGCCCAAAAGCTCTTGATCTGCTGTAATGGGCTGTGGAAGGAGTGCTTTCTCTTCCCAAAATGTTTAAGATTGTCAGTCATTTGTTGGTCATGGTTGGGCGGTCCCCCTGGGACTTCATCAGGGATTGACCAGCTCGAGTGTATAGATTCTGGGGTGACTATGTTGGGCCCCCAGAGGTGATCTCAGGAACAGTGTATAAAGAGTGCCCGGTGTGTGATCCACACTCAGCCAGTGTCAGCTTTGCTCTTGCCCGTCATGCCAGCGGCTGGCTGTGGCTTCACTGCTCGGTCGGCTGGTGACCTTCAGCACATCCTTCTGTCCTTGGTTGGCTTTTCTCTGCGTGCTCCTGTTGTCACCCTTGCTAGCACGTGTGCATGGATTCTTCATTGCATACCCTCTGCCCCGCTCCCTGGTCCCCATTTCTTTCCAGTCCTCCTACCAGAATTAGACAGAGAACTTCTCGCTCATAGATGGGCTCCAGCTGTGTAAGAAGACAAAGTTCAGAATCAGGTTTTACTATGTTGACTTTAGATCAGAGCATGATCAGGCTTTGGCTGTTGAAGCCTCAGATTATCAGCCTGCCTTTGAGCTTTGGAACTCCAAATCCTGATTTTCTGCTGAGAGGGGAAAAAATGTGTGATCATACCAACATTCAAACGATGTTATAATTTCTGGCTTATCAGAAAACCTACCCCAGGGGTTCTGGCCTAGTTTTAAGAATTTAATGGATGTTAGAACATGATCTTTACAAAAGAAGATGAATTATGCAGAGAGAGATCACTTGCTTAATTATTTTGCAGGCTAAGAATAAATCAAGTCATTAAAGATTATTGAATATGCTCGTACAGTTTTGCAAAGTCTTTTTTTTCTTCTCTGGTCACCTAATCCTAAACGTTTTGTCACAACATCTCAATGGTCTACATGGTTAATATAATATTTTAGCATCCCTTAGGGGCACCAGAATGTCTTGGCATTTCAGGGAGCCCAGAGAGAAGGGGTGCTAACTGATTAAGGTTTTTCACTAGCCTGGTACAACCTGGGTTCTGTGATAGCCTTGTTTTTATAGAATATAGAATCAACTCTCAGGGGTAATCATTGCCTTTATTTTTATTTTTATTTATTTTTTGATCATTGCCTTTATGTTGTTAAGTGTAGGTCTTTTCCAAAGATCTGGAGTTATATGGGGTGGCTGCAGAACTACCCTGGCTTCTTAGGAATTCTGCAGACCCAGGGAAACCCTAACCAGGCCTAAGCCCCAGATCTTCTGATCCAACCCATGCCAGCTCCAGACTGCCAGTCAAGGCCCCGCTACCCAGGGGACCGTCCTCCAGTGGGCGCCTGATTTCCTAGCGTTTATTGAGATGAACTGCTGAGCTACTGAGTGAGCCGTATTAAGCTGTCTTCAGGAGGTGACTGTGTGCCATTGATGTGGTCCGTGAAGATGCCCTGCCACGAAACAATGTTTTGGACTGATTTCTGCCACTCTTGCCTGGAAGCCTGACTTCCACATCCAAATGAATATGCCGTCACCCTCCCCTTCTTTCTCTGTCCTAACGTTTGCATTTGTCTTGTGTCTGCAGGGTTTCTCCCTCAGATGCCGACTCCACAGTAAGTGAAGAATCCAGTGAGAGGGAAGCAGGGGACAAGCCTCCAGGAGCGGTGACAGATGGCAAGTCCCACAGAGCCCCACAGAGTGGTCTGTGACTCTTCTTGTTCTCCACTTGAAAAGTAATAATCATGAGGTTCCAATAGGCTGGGGCTTTATGCTACTTCAGATGCTGAGTATTGGAAAAAGAACAACAACAACAAAACCTGTGCATGTGCATGTTCACTGCTCGTGTGGTGAGGTCCTCAGCATCAGCTGTCACCGTCTGACGCTGTACTGGTGTCTGCGTTGAGGCGGGGGCCGTGCTGGAGGTTCGAGATTCACCCCGGTGTGTGTTCTAGTTTAGGGCCCTGATGGTTTTCCTCTCCGAAAGACAAGGAGGAGTCGAACTAAAACCAGAGTCTCAAAAACTCCCCCCAGGATTCAGTGACCTTGGGAGCCCATTCAAGTGCTTCACAGCTGTCACTGTCCGGGAGTTGATTATTTGTCATGGGTCCAAGTGCCCTGTGTTTGGTCCTGGCCCTAGATCTGTCGTGCAGCACTGGGTCGATGTGCTCAGATGGTTTAGCCTATTGGCATATGTTTTCAGATGCCACAGCTTCTTAGGCTGGGTATGAAATGAACCTCACTCCCCTCCTAAGCAGCAATGTCGTAAACCTCATGTCCTGCAGTCGAATTAAGCCCCTAGGTCTTACTAGATTTGGAGCATTTGTTGGCTTGATGACAAGGTAGCTTGGTTTTAGTTTAATAGATTCTGTTAAATAAGGATGCTAGGACAGCCCTTGTGCTTGATGGAGCTTTATTTATATTTCAGGGTTATGTTTTAATACTGCAGAGAAAATTGAGATGCCTCAGGCTATCATTTTAATAGTAATTTTTTAGTATTTTTAATATTTATTGTTTAGTTGACCTTCACTTTAATAGCAATTTTTTACTTGCATTCTTCATCACAAATTTCTGTGTATGAAAATGCAGTACAGAGTGAACCATATTCTATAAATGAATCATTCTGGATGGAAGCCAAAGGGCCTGTTCTTCACTGTCATGTTTGTGACCTTGTATGTCCCTTAATCTTTAGGGCTCCTATGGGACTAAACTAGCTGGTTTTTGAGATTCCTTCCAGTTCCTTCCAGTTGTTTCTTTTTTGATGTTAAAAAAAAAAAGCCCTTAGAATAAAGGAAGAATTTTTTTCTTTGAATCTAATTTCATAGACTCTTAAAAATTGTTTAGCATCGTGGTAACAGGTGCACTGTTTCAGATAGACAGGATTAACATCTAATTTTGATCATGGGAAAGAAATATTTGGTAAAAAAAAAAAGAATCAGCCCTGGAGTTTCTCAATTTCTGTTAATTGCATATCTGAGAAAATCTTGCTCTTAGTTCCTACATTTAATTCTTTACTGACAGTATTAGAACCAGTCTATTCTACACAGCTAACAAAAATCAAATATCGCTCTCAGCATATATTCAAAATCCAAGTGGCAAGCATGTCAGTGTTGGGACTCAGAGTTGGCTGTGGAAGGAGACGAGGGTGCTGGGTGACCTTGTGGGCACTGGGAGCGCAGGAGCTGCTACTTTGATTTGAAGATGCACCGGCATTTGTACATTCTTTTCATGCTTTAGAAAGATGATCTTCTCACTACAGATATCAATTCACTCGTAAAACTTTTAATTACTTCTTTAAAGTTTTAATGCTGCCATAAAGGCAGTTTATTGCTTGCACAGAACTTAGTTAATTAAATACCCCATAAAAAAGATTTGGAATTTTTATTCATAGCTTTTAAATTATTTTGTGATTCACACAAAAATCCATCCTGTGTTGCATATATAATGAAATACAAATTAGGAGCGGCAGAAGGTTGCTTGAGAGCCATTCTGAGCCCCTCCATGCTGCCCTGGGACCAGTGTCCCCGCTCACTCCAGTGGGTGGCACGGCTGCTGGGTCCTGTTAGACTCCTTGGCTAGGCTTTCAACGGCTGTCACACGTCATCCAGGCCCATCTTGCAGTGGAAACTGGGAAAAGACCATCGTTTTGGTTTTGGGTCAGTTCAAGGCTGTGCTTTGTTCCCTTGCCAGCTGACCATTTCTGGGAAGTGGCTAGATCACGATGCAAACCTTTCTGACCGTCGAGACCCTCCTGGGATGGTTTACTCTGAGTTCAGTGTCACTGTGTTCTCAGTTACTGCAGTTTTAGAAAATGTCACATCGTTACCACTGCTCCCCCTTTGCAAAGTAGTGAAGAGAGCTGAGGCTGGGGGTAACACATCTTCCTTGAGCGAAGGCAGTGACCTTCAGGCTGTTTGTGCTGCCGGTGCCGTGTCTCAGCCCGGCATGGCTGTAGTTTTCTCTCTCTCTCCCCTTCGTCATCAGGAATAAATTGCACAGGGTAAGGATGGGGAATGCTGAGTCTTTCCTTCACGCTCTCCGTAGGCTGCCTGTGTGCAAGGCTGTGATTTTTAAGTAGCTAGAACCTCATTAATTTGAATTCAGCAAGTCCAGATTCTAGAATCTCGCATAGGAACTAAGCTGACATTTACTTTTGCGTGTGCTAAAGAGTTTGCAAAGCAAATTAAATTTTAGCGAGATTGCAGTTTGGCTATTTTGACTACACATAACATCAGAGTTTTTCAAGTGATTGTGGAGCGCCCATTTATAACATTCCTGAGACCATAGATTGTAATTCTCCCCTTTTCAGTATGGCACATTCCCAGAGGCCTCCTCCAGGTAGGATTTTATGAACTTAGTTGAGGTGACTAGTCATTTAGTCATCCATTTGGCAAATGTTTACTAAGTGCCTGTGATAGGTTAGCTTCTGGGACAGGTTGAAGAAGAGCCAATGTGATGCCCACCTCATGGGATATGACTGTGGGTCACAGGCGTTATAATAATGCAGTTCAGTGTGTTTACCTATAGATAATGGAATTAATGTTTCTTTAAAAATGTTCGATTGCTTCAGCATTCAGTAATTCAGATTGCCTTTTCCTGTGTCATCTGCTTTGTGGACATTATCCTATACTGTAATTTCTATCATTACTTTTTTTTTTTTGCTTTATAATATTTAAAGAGAAACGACTTGAATCCAAATTCCCTGCTTGCCTTCAGGCAGGATTCACATAGCATCGGTCTCTGGAACCTTGTACCTTCCATTGGTCATTATTATCCAGGTAGTTTTTAAAAAATTGTGCTATGTATAGCAAACAATAGAAATAACCCAATGTTCATATATGTAATATGTTTATAATAATCCAGTAGACCTAGATCTAGAGATGTGTGTATTTATGTGTATGTAATACATGTATATGACAAACAACAGGCTCCTTTTCAGCCTTTTTGAAGGGTTGGGGTCCAGGCAGTATGGAAGCTTGAGGGTTTTCTGTGCATCCCCTGTTTCTCCAGTTTCAGCTGGTGAATTACAGAGTGAGGGTCCAGTTTGGGGGATGGGGCATGGACCAGAGTCAGTCCCACGCCCACAGCTCCCTCTGTGGGACCCAGGCAGGTGGACAGCACAGTGGGGAGGGGCCTTTCTTTCTCCTTCACCTTTGCACCCTGGTCTTTTTATCATCCTGGAGGAAAGCAGTCTCACCAATGGGTGTCCGTAGCTTAATGGGCCACCCTTTGGGGCATTTGCTTTGTAAGTTCGGGTTAGCAAGCTAGCCTTATCTGGTAAAGCTAATCATCTCCTTTTAGGCATTGTGCCTGCAATTTGAGTCATTGCTGAGGGATAAATGGTGGTATCTGGCTGTGCTTGTGTTATGCAAATAGTCAGGCTCCCTTCAGGCAGGGCAAGAAGGCCTGAGAATAGCCCTAATCCAAACAAATACTCCTCACTAGGAGAGAGTCCTTCGTTCACAGAGTTATAGACATGATTTCTAATAGCTTGGCGTAACAAATGACTATAATTCAGATTGAGAGGAAATACAGAGACTTACATGTACCACTGATGTGCATTCCTTATGTAAAATATCAACTACTACTCATTGCTTTGTGCAACACTTTTTACACAGCGAGGAAACCTCTGTATTTTTCACTTATGCCTGAGGCTTTTAGAAGCAGTTTTCGGCATGCTCGCAGAAACCCTTCTCTTGGCCTGTTGGCCATTTATTTTCAAGCAATGCTGTCCGGAGGTGACCTGTGGCTTAGAGAGAGGGCATCAGTGATCTTAGGGCATCTAACTGGAGAGCGCTTTCCATCCATTCAATCCCTCTTCATCTCTCTTTCTCCCTGCCTTTTAAAATTAAGGTTTATTAGGATTATTTCTATTATAAAAGTAATACTGATTGGGGAATACCCTCATTACAGAAAATACAAGCAATTAGAGAAAATTGTACCAAGGTCCAGTCTCTGTTAACATTTTAAAGTGTTTTTTATCTTTTCTCTACCCATTTACATTTTTTTCCTTCTTTGCAATTCTGATTACTTAAAAACAATTCATTGTGCTAAAACACGCATACCATACAATTTGCCCTTTTATCCATTTTTTCAGTGTTCTCTTCATCTCTTTTTAAAGGGGGAACTAGTTCCGACAAGCAGCAACTTTTTCTTCTCCTGACTCTTCAACTTATTTTCTTTCTGCCTCAGAACTGAAAAGCCAGCAGTGTTCAACGTTCAGCAGAACATGCCTGCATGCCCACAGTCACAGCCCCCTTGGCTTTTGTTTTTTCAACAGTGTAATTGCCTTGGCAGTTAGATTGATACCACTCCAAATGACTGTGGAAGTTCAGAGCTGCTGTAAATATTGTCCTCAAAGCTCTGTACCTTGCTACTAGCCCACTACAGGCTCCTCCTTTCCGTAACACCCTGCCTTACTGAAGAACATCTTTAGACAAAACAGGGCCATTGGGGGCATAAAGCATCATAAAGATTTTTTATGTCTTCCCTAAGGGTATTTGTAATTTTTAATGAGGCTGTAGGAGACACTATTTAACCTAGACAATTTAACCTCAAATAGTGACATTTCAGGTTCTCTGCCACAGAGTGGGGATGTGTTTTTTTGATCAGGGGCCCATCTGAGGAGTCTTTAAGAAATAATCCAAGAGTTTGATTATTGGCTGTTTCCTTAGGATGACTTTATTTATTTTGCTTTCCCCTCTGTTGCAGGGGCACCACCCAGCTCGGGGAATGAGCAGCACTCATCAGCCTCCATCTTTGAGCATGTGGACAGGATCTCCCGCTCCTCGGAGGCCAGTCGGCGGGTCCCCAGTAAGATCCAGCTGATCGCCATGCAGCCCATCCCAGCACCTCCAGTTCCACACCCCATACTGGCTGACCGGGTGGCAGAAACCAACAAAATTAACAAAGAGGTATTTGGTTTTATTGAAAAGTACATTAATTTTTTAAAAACCGCTCATGTTCTGATTTGGTCAGTGCTTAAAAATGTGGGAGACTTACAGTGTCACAAGGTAGCGAAAGATATGAGCTGCTGATGAGTGTTCTTAATTTTAGATATGATTGATCCCCAGTGTTTTGAGATCAGATGCTGTTCAGGGATGCTAGTAGGTGTGCTGGCGGGGGTGCAGGATAGACATCTAGGACGGCTGTCCTTAGAAAGTCCCACTTTAGCCTGTGGCTGGGGGTTTGGGAACTTGGCTTTTAGAAAGATTCCCAGAACATAGTGGCTCGTTGTGCCTCAACTGTTGGTGCAAATAGTATGATTTATGCGGACCATCTGCTTTCCTTCTGGGAGTCTGGGCTTGGTACATACTGGGCAGAGGGTGCCTGCGTGGCCAGCCTCCAATAAAGATCCTGGGCATCGAGTCTCTAATGAGCTTCCCTGGTAGACATGTCACACATGTTGTCACAACTTGTTGCTGGAGGAATGAAGCTCATCCTGCATGACTCCACTGGGAGAGGACTCTTGGCAGCTGTGCCTGCTTCCGCCAGACCTCACTTTGTGTGCCCTTCTCCTGTGCTGATTTTACTTTGTATCCTTTTGCTGTAATAAACTGGACTCAGTGCTGAATCCTGAGAGTTCTCCTAGTGAATCACTGAACTTGGGGTAATCATGGGACCACAGCCCATACGGTGATCCTGATAGATCTGCTCTGGCCCCAGTGATCTAGATAATTCTTGGTAAAACACCTTGTTCCAGTAACTCCTGGAAGACTGAGTTAGATCTGCTTTTCTCCTTAGATTTTGGGAACCAGAAGGCCAGGTCAGGTCCCTGTTAACTTGAACTTGAGAGATTTTGACCAGGCTGGACCATGAGTGGAGTGAATGCCATTTAGGGCTGCGCGTACGGCAGTGCCCTGCCCATTTCCTGCCTCGAAGAAATACCCGCCGCTGTTGTGAGTTCTGCCAGGTTGAAGTGATGAGAAATCGGTGCAGCTCCTTAAAGTGGATCATCTTATAGAAGTTTAATCAAGAGTTCTTACAGTTTCTCCTTTCCGCACCTCATTGGCTCCTTGCCAAGGACGTGACCACAAGACGGTGTGCCATAAGTTCAAGATGGCGTTTGCTGTCCCTTCTCACCAATGCTCAGGAGCCCTGCCCCTGCGTGTCCCCCATCCTGGCCTGGATGGGTCTCCATCAGTCTTGTGTTGGGTGTGCCTCACACCGCCATGAGTAAGCACCCTGGAGTGGGTTCTCCATCTGGCCTCACAACTGGATAGCATCCACCTCCACTTTTTTCTTTTACTGTCTTTTAAAAATGTATTAGATGCATACATATGGCCATAGGTAACATATATATTGATTATAAATCCTAGTAATAAAAACCCAATATAAGAACAAGAGCATTACCAATACTGGTGCGCCTGCCTGTATGCTCCATACATTTAAACTGAAATGTTTTCTTAGTAGGAGGTGCTGGTGCAGATTCCCAGCACACCTTGGTCCTCTAGTGAGGACCTCATATATTTAAAAAAACCCGTTAGATCCTGATAGAGTGAGAGGGGCTTCCTGAACTCTCCTGCTGGGAACTTGTCACGAATCTCATCCAGCTGATTCTCCTTGCACAGCCTCAGAGTACGTGGCTTTGGTCCACTGTGGCATGGCCAGGAATGTTCCCCGTTATCCTGGTCCTGCTCTCTCCTCCCAGTCAGCTTCCCAGCTTGGTTTCCCTTTTCTCCCTCTGTCTCCATCTCGCTTGCTGGTAAGTCCTCTGAAGCAGGGCTAAGAGCTTACTAAACAAGGGGATGCTCCTCCTGGCCTGCACTACACCACAGCCCAGCAGGCCTGCCGCTTCCTGCGGGGCCTGGTCCCCCAGACCTCCACCCTGTTCTGGTCCACAGCATGGGAGTGCCTGCACCTCACACCCTCTTTCCGCTTCCCTCCCAGATTCCAACTCACTTTTTGAGACCTTGTTCAGGCCCCATGTAGCCAGTGACCACGTGTTTCCAACACATGTGGATTTTCCTCTTTGAGGAGAGGGGTCTCCTGTCAGGGAGCTAAATCATCAGTAAATGGGTATTTTATTGTATAATGCAAATGTCTCCTTTGAATCTGTCTTAATTTAAAAATCTCTAAAGTAGTAATACTATTGAAAAATATTTACCCTTTTCTCGGGGTGTATTCTATCTAGTTGTCACCGGCAGATTTCCCAGGTTTGAATCTTCTCGCCACGTCTGGGAGCCGATACCAGGCTTCCCCCTCGACATCCCCCACTCGTGGGCGATGGCAGGTTCTGTGCCCCGGCGGGGTGGGCGTGCCTGCGCCACCCTTGGCGGCCTCGTGGGAGCCTCGGACAGCCTTTCAGGGGGAAGGAGAGTGGCAAGAAGGCCTCCCCAGAATGCTGTCTGAGCGCGGGGCCCAGAAGCCCGCAGGACATTTGGGTGTCCTGTCTTTCAGATTCAGACGGCGCTGCGGCACAAGTCGGAGATCGAGCATCACCGGAACAAGATCCGGCTCCGCGCCAAGCGCCGCGGGCACTACGAGTTCCCGGTGGTGGACGAGCTGTCCTCGGGCGACACGCGGGAGCGGCACCGCGTGTACCGCCGCGCGCAGATGCAGATCGACAAGATCCTGGACCCCACGGCCAGCGTGCCCTCCGTGTTCATAGAGCCCAGGAAGAGGTGGGGGCCCGAGCGGGGGCGGGGGACCAGGACCCGGCCATCTTTCAGGCGGAAGTCTCCGGGAACAGCTGCGGGCGGTGTGGGCTGCTGGGCGGCCCAGCCCGCTCGGTCACCCCGTGTGGAAGGCTGCGTTCACTCCGCCTGCGCCCCGGCATGCCTGGGAGCACGTCTCTGGGTTGAGTGTCTCCTGGGGTTCAGCATTCTGAACTGCCAGGCCCCTCCCCTCCCAGACGCTGCCTCCTGCCTTCCTCCCCATCCCTCTCTCACCACCCGGGTCTCCAGCCGCCTCTGCGTGGTCACTGGGTCCTCTGGTGCATTCTGATTTCTTTCCCGTAGCCACCCGCAGAGTCCCGGCCCCTTGGTCTCCCAGACCCCTGCCCCCTAATGCGGATGCATTTTTTGGGAAGATCAGCTCTCATTGTGTTGCTCTGCTCAACGCCTGAACTGGCTTGGGTTGTCCGCCGGGCGACCCCTGTGCGCCTGTCACACATACATGCCAGCTGTTCCCCCACCTCTCCAAACACGTGTCTGCATTCCTGTTTCTGGTCCCTGGCACAGTCTTGCCTGCGCCTCACACCCTCTTCCCGCTTCCCTCTGGGTCTGCAGATCCTACTGGCTCTTCAAGACCCAGTCAGGCCCCAGGTGGCCAGAGATGATACCAGTACCCACATGGACCTCACCCTTTTCTGAGTGTCTGTATGGCTAATTAATGTCATGAGTGTATTGTCACATGTTTCTCTCTCTTGTTCCATGTGTTTAGTATAGGCTGCCCAGGTAGACTGTCAGCTTTCTTAGCGCAGAATGTGTCTTACACATTGTTTACATCCTGTAAGGAGTTTAATACAGCAGATCCAGCAGATCCTCAGGGCTCAGAAAATACTTAGCGTTTAGTTGATGAGCCAGCGGCCGGAAGGTTTCTTTCCTCTGAGGATAACATCTTTGTCTCCTGGCAGCTCCAGAATAAAACGTTCTCCTAAGCCACGCCGGAAACACCAGGTCAACGGCTGCCCTGGAGATGCTGAGAAGGACAGGCTTATCACCACCGACAGCGACGGAACATACAAAAGGCCCCCTGGGGTCCACAACTCTGCCTATATTGGTTGCCCGGTGGGTGATGGAATCAGGGTGGGGTGGCTTCTGCCCAGTGGTTGGTGCTCCAGGGCCAGCTGGGTCGTGAGGCATGTGGGGTGGGGGAGGGGGCGAGCCGCTCCTTGAAGGAGAGACTCGGGTCATAGAGACCGGGAGGCTGCTGGGTGAGCCCTCTGGAAACACACTCAGTGTTTCCTCTTCCTTTTTGTAAGCTCTTTCCTCTCAGGCTTCAGAATGGGCACTTCTTGAGGTTAATTGGGAAACAGAGAAATGTCCAGAAAGTCTTTTTTCCCTTCTCTTAGTCAATGAGTTGTTTGAGTTTCTTGGAGTTAGGAGTGCTATTTAGGGTTTGTCCCCCTTTCTGCTCTTAGAGTGCCAAGAAGATACTACATTTGCTAATGTATGTATTTCTAACTTTATGGAGAAAAGAGCTTAATGGAAATTAGGAAATAAGGAATTAAGCAATTTTTTCAAAAGAGAAGGGGCACAGTTGCTGAAGTGTTGAAGCAGACGTTGACCGCACTAAGACACATACAGGCCCCACGGTACAGGGAAGAAAGGGCCAGCCTCCCCGAGGGGCTGTGAAATACAGACACAGAAGCCCCCCAAGAGGAGCGGGAGCCCCAGAGCGTTAGCACTGGGACACAGTGGGCGTCTGAGCTCTGGGCCGCGGCATAGCCCTGTCTCGGTGCACAAGACCCCTTCCTCCTTCTGGAGGCAAACTTAGAGAGCCATCTTTGTTTAGAGAGAAATTAGCAAAAGATACATCCTTGGAGAAAAAATCTGTGATGTACATGATCCCTTTAGATGGAGCTTATGTAACTAGCCATTTCTGACTTGAATTTTACATTTTAGCTCTCAAATTATGCAAATAACTAACATTGAGAGACAGTAAACATAATTACGCAAATGTGCCAAATACCTTACTGACACTGGGGCTAAATATAATTGAATCATGATCATCTGAAAGAGCCAGGCAGGCTCTTCCTTGGGAACTTACTGAGTTTCTAGTGTTCTGAAGACTGACCGTCCCTTCACAACTAGCTCCTGGAAACCAGTGTGACTCCAGAGGGTTGGAAGGCTGCTTTGCTACTGGTCAGAATGAATTGAGTCCTCTCTAAGCGCTGCAAATGAATTCCTAGGGTGGAGGGACCATCGCTGGCAGTTCTTGCAATAGATGGCGCTCTTGTGCTGCTGCTGTGTTTTGGGGCCGGTGGTTGTCCGGGTGTCTGTGGTGTTTGTCTTAATCTGGGGAGGGCTGTCCTCTGGGCTTCCCAGAATGGTCCCCTGGAGCTTTCATTTTTGTCCCTTGTGGGAACTTGGAGATCTTGTGTGAGTAGAAGAAGGGGGAACACGCCTTCTCATCCCATCACTTCCTTGGCCTCTGGGTCCTCCTCTAAGAGGAGCCTTCAGGGGAGACTTTGCAGCCCTGTCCCGGAGTCCATCACCCAGTGCCATGGAGTTGTGGGTGCGGAATGCCCTGTCTTGCTCTCCCATCTGCCTTCGTCAATGACCCTAAATCAGGCTGCTTTCATGGTGGTCCAGACCATCCTTTTTCTCCTTGCTTTTTTTCTTAGCAAAAATCATAGAGGTTCCCCCCTCAGCTGGTGGAAAGAAGCCCTTCCCTGGAGAACATGACTCAGCCAGCTGCTTCATCCCCAATGGCTCCATTTTTCAAAGATTCCCTAAAAAGAAATTCTTCCTCAGATGGACTTTTTACTTTGTCTCTCTAAAAGTTCTGAAACACATACTTTCAAAGATAATGCCTTTTTTTGGAACTCACCTTTTCTTAGTATTTTATCTTGAAGGTTATACTAGACATACATGTTTTTGAACGATCTTTAATTTTATGCTTTCCCCTCAAAATATCTTCTCCTTGAGAGCTCTCTTTTCCTAAGGTGAGAGAAATATTCCTGGATTCCTTGTAACTAGGGTCGCTAGTGTAATTCAGGCCTCAGTGAACTAGCCCTCAGGCCAAATCCAGCCTGCTGCCTGTTTTTGTAAATAAGGTTTTGTTGGAACACAGCTACTCCCTTCATTTTCATGTTATCTATGGCTGCTCTCACTGCGATGGCAGAGTTGAGTAGCTGTATGGCTCACAGAGCCTAAAATATTTACTGTCTGACCTTTTACAGAAGTTTATCAACCCTGATATAATTTATTATCCAAGGCAGACGCTCAGGAGGGTGAAAGGAGGTGCTGTAAATAATTATATTGGAACAGCAAGTATAGACTGAGATTTGTCTTGGGCCAACCGTGGTGTATGGTCACCCTCTTATAATACAAATTGCAAAGTAGGTACCAGAATACATCATCTCTGATGACTAAAGATAAGAAAGTTCCCAAATATTTTCTGAGGAATGATAGGTAAGCATATATCCGTGCAAAGGAAATAAATCGAATAACAGAATCATCAAACTTGATTCAAGACAATGGACTTCAAATTCCAAATTGGGGATCCTGGGTAAATCTTAACTTCTGTAGATCACAGTTATTCATTTATGATTAAGCTCCATCTACACGTGAAACACTCTGCTGGGTATGGGGACATAGGAAAATGAGCAAGATGTCGTCTTGGACTCTGGGCTGCTGATAGTCTTGCCTGCGAAATGAGGAGACAGCAGGAAGATCAAAGAGCAGAAAGTGCTAAGATCATGGCTCCGTAGCTCTTTGCCTTCGTAGCAGGATTCATGGGACCAGTGAGAATCCAAGGGAACCCAGCTTCACACCTTCACAATATGTTTGGGCTTCTGGGGCCACGAAGACCAGAAAGGTGGCGTCTTCCATCGGTTCCTTGTTTTGTCTCTTACAATTTACTGAGTGTATATTGGGACGACGTTTTGCTCATAAGGCAGTATAAGGAAATAAGAATATTAAAAGCTCTTGTTACTTATATCCCTGTCTCTTAGAGAGTATAGAATATAATTTCAACTTTTCTTGTTGACACGTGTTATCCAGGGATACCTCCATTTTAAAGAAATAGTTTCTGAATAAATAATTGGTACTATTTACTGTTTGTAAAGAGTTGTTGTAATAGGTGTTAAAATTGTTTATGCACATGTAGTTGTAATTTGGTGGTGACTTCGAACGCTTTTGGGGGTGTATGGGGCTCTTCTTAGTGTTAACTGTCAGTGGACTGCTTTAGTTTTAGATCTCTGTAGCTATGGAAAGTCAACTAGATATGTTAGTATGTCGACTCTGAGACATCATTTTGAATTGATGGGGCTTTCAATAAAAAATGTGTACTTCCAAGTACTGAGATGCATTTCAGATAGTTGATTGAAGTTTTGCTGGACACATGATTGTTGAATATTTTAATTTTTATTTTTTCTGATTCAAGCATTTTACTCCCATGAAAGGTAATGGACATTCCTCAGCTGTGATTTTTAAAGTTCTAATGGTAAACATATTTCTTGGTGTCAGCAAAAACCGTCAAATTCCTCTTGGCCCTAGAGTTTTGGTTTCAAGTCATCACAGAAGCTTGCGTCTGACTCTTCTCTCCTTTGCCATGTCCCCTGCTGTAGTCTGATCCCGACCTCCCGGCAGATGTGCAGACGCCGTCTTCTGCTGAGCTGGGGCGGTACCCAGGCCTGCCCTTCCCAGCCTCCCAGTATATCCCGCCCCAGCCGTCCATCGAGGAGGCGCGCCAGACCATGCACTCCCTCCTGGACGATGCTTTTGCCCTCGTGGCCCCCAGCAGCCAGCCCCCCAACGCTGCAGCTGCAGGCCCCGGGGTCCCAGCTGGCCTGCCTGTGAACAGCACCCCATCCCGAGAAGAGAGACGAGCCACCCAGTGGGGGTCCTTCTACAGCCCGGCTCAGACGGCCAACAACCCCTGCAGTGTAAGTGTAGACCTTCCATAATTCTCTCATGGGCAAGATGTTGGAGCTTTGTTGTCTGACTGCCTCATTTTCAGGATTCCTGCAATATTCTGGTTGTATTTGATAAACATTGAGGCTTGCATAATGAGTCTTAGTTTTTATTATCTTCTCCTAGATTAATTCTCAATGTTGAAAGCATTCATTTATGCAACTCGCATATTTTATGCAAGTACCTTTCAGAGTTCCCTTCAATGTCATGAAATAGAGATGGAGTAACTGTCAAAATATATTCTCATTGATGTCTCCATAAAAGGTACAGTTAAGAATGTACTTGAATCATTAAGCTTCATCTTGTAGGCCGCCTGGGACTAAAGAGGCCCTTGAGGCCCTGGGAGTGCCAGCAGCTAGTCCCCAAGTAGGCAGGCACAACCATTGTCAAATGCCAGGTTTCCATCGTGGGAGTTGACATTTCAGCATTTCACGTGTCTTTGTGAACCTTGATTTTTTTCATGTTCAGTCATTCCTTTCAAATGTACCTTCTCAAGTCATGGAGATGGAGAAGTAAAACTCAAGGACATAACACTATTTTTTGCTAATTTCAGATTAAATGATCAGACTGAAACATTTGACTCTGAAGAGATATTAATAGGCTACAGCTTAAATTTCTTCTTCAAGGAGTATTTATATAGGGTTTCTCTGATTTTGTTAACTATATGGGTTTTCACAACACTGGACATTAGGCAACCAAAGAGATGGGTCACTGAGAGGTGAGTAGAAAGAAGCTTACAGTCACCCCAACTTACTGTCCTGAGAGAGTTTCTAGGTGTGGTGCTGGGAGGGAGACCACAGTCAGAGCTCAGTGGTCTTCCTGAGTTGAGAAAACGGAGTCAAGAGTCTGGGGAGGAAGAGGCAGCTGGAGTTCACAATAGACGGGGCAGGAAAGCAGAGAAATGCACAGAAGTAATTCTAGAGATCTGCAGGGAATCTTCATTTGAGTACTGATCAATTTAACGGTATAAGGAAACTACCCAAGACTAGGGAAAGGACCACCCAAAAAGATTAGCGGGAACAGTCCTTAGAGCTCACATAAGCATAGGAATAAGTTCCTGCTGTGGACTGAATTGTGTTCCCCCCAAATCTGTATGTTGAAACCTAACCCCCCATGTGACTGTATTAGTCTTGAAGGAGGAAATTAGATTAAATGAAGTTATAAGGTTGGAACCCTGATCCAATAGAACTGGTGCCTTTATAAGAAGAGGAAGAGACACCAGCGTTCTCTCCCCCGCCCCCATGTGAGGACGCAGCAAGAAGGCAGCTGTCCACAAGCCAGGAAGAGAGCTCTCACCAGCAACTGAACCCTGCTGGAAACTTGATCATGGATTTTCCAGCCTCCAGAACTGTGAAAAAATAAATTTCTCTTGTTTTAGCCATTCAATCTGGTATTTTGCTATGGCAGCTTGAGCTGTCTAATCCAGTTTCTTTTGCACTAGAGTGGCTACATTAATATTAGCCAAAATAGATCTCATAGTAAAGAACCTTACCAAGAATACAGAGGATTATTTCATAATAATAAAGTGGTCAGTTCATCAAGAAGACATAAAGTCTTAAATGTTTATGTGCCTAGTAACAGACCTTCAAAGTTGAAAAATTGGAAGTTCTAGTCAGAAATTTCAACACTCCTCTTTCAGTAGTTGATGGAATGAAGACAGTTGACCCTTGAAATTAGTTCTGAGGACTAATACTGAGTGGGAAGTAAAAGTGATAAGGCATGAGGCAGGAGAGAGAAAGCAAAAAGCTGAGAGGTTTGGCGCCTAGACCTCATCCTGAGGGTAGTGCCAGGATACTGAAGGGTTTTGAGCAGCAAGCTAGAGACATCATTAGGTGTGCCTTTTAGAAAGATTGCTCTCATTTTACACTGGAGAATGGTTTGTCATAGTGCAGACCAGAGGCAGGGAGATAATTAGGAAGCTGTTGTAGTGATCTTGGTGATTTTGATGGTCCCAGCTGATGTAATGCAGAGGTTGGATACGAGAGGAAGAGTCGACACAGCTTCAGTGTGTTTAATTGCTGATGGCAACGGGCTACTATAGGAGAGCTTGATGATACAGGAACAGGGAGCCAGAGTACCAATGGAGGAATTATATTTAGAAGTGAGGGGATATATTTCCTCCAATTTAATAGGAGAGAGGGAGGAAGAGTTGGGTGTAGGTGCAATGAGGTTTGTAGTTGGGTGGCAGTACATTGTGGGACCGTCCATCTCATGACTTCTGTTCTCACAGTAGAGAAAGAGTCATCTGTTGAGGGAAGAAGTATGGCAAGGAAAGAGGGTTGAGGAAGAGGAGAGACTTGAAATACTTACTGTGGAGAATGAGAGAAGAGAGATAAGGGATGTGGGAGTAATTACCCAGCAGTATTGAGGCCCATGTTGAGACTGACAATTAAGAAATTATAGTGGCAGAGACTAAAGTTCTGTAGTTTTGTTTATCAGCATTCAGATACCCAGGTGTAGACAAGGAGAAAACAGGCAGTTGGACTGATCTGGGACTGGGGCTTTAGCAGGCACATGTGGTGAAAGGATAACTGGAAAAAGTTGGGCAGGTTAGAGAATGAAGTTGAAATACCGATAGACCATACATTGAAAGGGAAAGCAGAGGAAGTTACGATCAATTAAACATGCTGGAGCTTTGTAGATTTTTCCTCTCGAATCCATCCATTGCATTATAGTGATTGGAGCCACCACCTCTCACCAAGACTATTGAAAGACTTCCTAACTGTCTCCCTGCCTCTGGTCTTGAATGTAGGATGTCAGGGTGGTGGCTGACAAGTAAAATGCCATTTACTGATGTTGAGCAGGCCAAGGAGCTGAGAGTCTAACACAGTAGACACATCCTGTGGGTGACAGGAGGACTTGGAATGAAGAGGAAGACCTACTAGGAGCCTCTTCACTTAGGCTCGAGTTTTCTAAAGGGGGAGTTCTCGTCTCACTTTCCAATCTTATTTGTTCATTACTGGTGTCTTCATGTTACCTCTCTATGCTTCTTGAATTGTTTGGTGCAGAAATCTGTGTCCATCTTAATCTCCCTCTTCCTGATAGAAGATGTAGAGGTCTTATCTGCTAGGAAGCATAAATATTTTTTGGCACTCAACCCGTTTTTCTGAATAATTTTATCTCCTGAATAACCAGTGTCCATTTAATCTTCAGATTCAGCTCTTTCATGCACATCAGGGAAACTTATTTTATTTCTGAAGTAATTTTCTTACTCTGTTCTATTTATTAGAGTTGAAGGTACGAATTATTTTTATGTTGGCTCGTCTTTGTCTCTTTTCTGTATCTATCACTCTGTCTCTAATACCTTGAGCTACTTTGTTCTTTTTTCTCTGCCTTCACTTATGGTTGTCATGGGCCTCTCTCTGTGGCATTGATTTGATTTTAAGCTATATCTATTCTTTTCCCCACTAGTTGATTTCTTAAAGTCATACTGACTTAATTTTGGTTCTCAAATTATTTCCACATTTCTGTGGTGTCTCATTTTGTTGTTTTATCATCAATTCTTTGAACTTCAAAAAAGGGATTGCTATTCTTGTTAAGTTAGGAGCCACTCTGTGCTGCCTGATTTTTTTTTTCCCCCTTGGCCACTGCTTTCCTCAGTTCATGGCATGATTCTACTCTTGTATTGTTTGGTTTCTGCTGATGAATTCTAGCAGTAGTTTTTGACAGATTGGTGTTACTATTTTTATTATTTCCTCATTGTTCATAGGTGTTGGAGATTAATGATTCCACAATAATGCCTTTATCCACCATCTTAACCAACAACTCATGCCTATAATGAGGTTTTTATAAATACTGTTATTAAGTGGTTTTCTCATTGTGAACTTTTGATACTATCCTTATGTATTTTGATGGGAGTAGTAGCAGTTTAATCTCGGGGAAAACCAGAATCATTGGCTGTATCTCGGCATGTCTGATATAACTTCAATGTGTTTGTATATTGGTTGTGAAGTTACTGTTTGTTGCCAGGAGGAACCTGATCACCCTTTATCTGCTTTTCTGACTACAGTAAAAACCACAGGTAAACCTTCAGTTACTTCATCTGATGACATTTTCACTCCCCCTTTTTTTTTCCACCAGTGTAAAGGTATTAGTTATACATTGGTGAGACAGGTCCCTTGATAGGTGGTATTTCTGCTTTCCTGAATACAGTTAACCTCCCTGGAGTAGTCCTTTACATAGTAGGTGTGAATACCTGAGTTTAGGTATTTTATGATCAGACCTTACTGTCTAGTTGCTTTGCCTCAGGCCCATCCCAGACTCCATCCACCACTTGCCTTTCCTGCTCTGTTGGCCTTTTTTATACTGAATAGAAAGAAAGAAAGGATGTATTAAAACGGGATTTTTATTCACCTGGCTGGTAGAAACCTTAAAATCCTCTTTTGTCCCCTAAATTTTATACAGGTGTGACCCACTTAAAGGAAATGCCTGCCATCTGTTTGCAATTAAAACAAAACAAAACAAAACAAAACAAAACAAAACAAAACACCTTTTCATTGGGGGAGTGAAGTCTCTAGAAACATAAAATCCTTTTTTTTTTTAACTACAATAGAGTGGAAGTGCCTAGCACTACAACAATAAAACAGATAAAGAATAGACAGCTCTGTTTTTCTTTTAGTTTATCACTTATTAGATCTCCTAAAATCCTGATAGGTAAGCTGTTAAGCCTTGATCTTTTTAAGTCTTATTTTGCATATGAATATTTCTTAAAAATCTAAGCTGTGCTGAAAGCACAAAGGCCACACTGAATAATCTTTATCCAGTCTCAGATTTCTGTTTAATTATTTGGAAAAGGAATTGATACTCCTTTTCCTCCTCTTCCTCTCTTCTTCCGTAATCCCTTTGGCTTATTTTACCTCATTTGGGAAACTCTACAGGGTTCTAATCTCTCTCCCTCTGCCAAGGGGAGGGAAGCAGTGAGGGTTAGAGGTGAAGTAATTTGAGCACAGTTTCATGTCTAATAATCTCTTCAGGACTCTGAGAGGTGCAGAGATTATTCTGTCTTCTTGGCCTATGGTTTGACCAAGTTTGGTCAGTGTGTCTAACTCCAAAGCTGCCTTTCCCCCCCAAAAGTAGAGATTTATTGGAGAGGGAGAATCTGATTTTAGGAATAGTAGGCAGTGTAGCCCAGTGGTTAAAAGCATGGTCTGTGGAGTCAGAAACATGAATTAGGAGGAAATTGTTTAACTTCTTTGTGTGTTGTTTTAATCTGTAGGCAGAAGTAGTGAGCACTTTTCTTGTGTTACTGTGGGCCTGAGTTAATTTTCATACAGTGCTTAGCACAATATACTAATTCAGTAAATGACAGCTTTGAAAAAATAAAGGTCTAATATTAGAGAAGATCCAGAAGCAACGCTGACTTAGTGACTTAACTTGAAGTTCCTGATCCTGGACAACCAGCTGATTCAAACTGACTGGGGTTGGATGGACTCTATCCAGAGTTACTATTCTGCTAAAATATCTGACATATTATAATATATATACATATAATATAATAATTTACAGTTGCTGAAGTGTTGAAATGCGAGCCCCGTGTATGTTAGGGTTAGGATATGTTGATTTCATGAAGAATGCAACATAGATCTGTGTTTCTTTAAATCTGGTACCATACTGTGTTAGTCAGAGAGCACTTGGTTAGTGCAGGTTAGTACAAGAGTTGATTGAAGAAAAAAGAGTTGATTGACAGACCCAGGGGCACCTTACAGAATTTAAGGGCAGGGAGAATGGCTGGGCCTCCTTGGTACCAGGAAACTGTCAGAAACTGAAGGTGTTCACTTCATCTTTTAGAGTCTCTCTAACTTATGGTTCTCTTTCTATTCTTTCTCTTTTAACAGCATTCTGCAACATGGTACAGCATTTGCATTGTTTAGTTTCTTGAGTGTATTTGAATTGATACTGAGTACCTGCTAGTTCTGGTGACCATTGTTGATGCAGTCATCTGTGCGAAATGTGGCCTTGGGTACATTTTTAGCAGAAGGTACAGGCCTGTAGAGGTTAAGTCTGTAGGGAAGAGCAGGTGCAGAAGCTTGTTTATTATTCATGTTTTTACAAAAGAAAGAAAGGTCTAGAAATCAGTTGTGTGTTTATTAGCCCAGTTTCCCAAAATGAAACTTCTGGCATTACTTAATGGCAGAATGCCCTGAGAGCATGTTAACTTTTTATGAGAAAATAATTCTCTTGGAAGTCGATCCTGAAAATCTAAATTTATAAATTTGCTGTTGTCACTTTATAATAAATATTGAATGTTAATCTTCATCTCCTTTTGAATTTCTTCCAGAGATATGAAGACTATGGAATGACTTCCCCGTCAGGCCCATTACCAAGGTAAGGTTTTTAGGAGAAAATGTATTAGGACTTTCTTATACAGGCTGTTTCTTGACCTTTGCAGACTCACTTCTTTTAGCTGATGTGAGCAGACACAAAACTCTTGGGTGGTGTGTTCCCTTGATCTAACCAGAAGAGAGAACAAGTTGGAATTTAAGTCTTCTTTCCAGTAATAATGGACTAGATAATTTGGTGAAGATAACTGGGAAAGCTGGACAGATTTAAGAACAAAACCAAACCAAACCCAGGTAGCTAACAGGGCAGTGAAGCAGTATAGGGCCAAGATCCAGGAAATCCAGAGAAAGTGAGCCCTGCCTTTTGAGCTACTTTCTCCTGCAGATACCTGCTGATTCCAGAGGAGGTGGCTGAGAAGCTGAGCAAAACTTTTGACAGACTCTTGAAAATGTGGCGTATCAAGAGTTGTGGGATCTCTTTTAAGTCATGTTTAGGAGGATATATTTGAAAAGAAAAACGATTGAAAATCAATGATCTAAGCATCCATCTCAATATTAAAAAAGAAAAAAAAAGTCCAGTTAAATCTAAAGAAAGTAGAAGGAAGGAAATAATAAAAATAAGAATAGAAGTTAATGAAATAGAAAACAAACACCATACTAGAGAAGAGCAACAAAACTAAAAGTTAGTTCTTTGGGAAAAGGTAGTAAAATTGATAAACTCCTGGAGAACTTGGTCAAGTAACCTGTGTAACATTATCAATAAGAGTCATGAAAAAGGACATGTTAATCCAGACCTTACAGAAATTAAGAAAATTTTGACAGACTTTACAAAGGCAGATTTTTAAAAGATTTTACAGACATTAAGAATAATTTATGAACATATTTTTGTTAATAAATTTGAAGTGGAAAAATTCCTAGAAAGAGAGAACCTGAATAGTCCTATAACTATTAAAGAATTTAAAATCATTATTAAAATTCTTCCAGTGGGGAGTGTATAACTCAGTGGTAGGGTGCGTACTTAGCATGCATGAGGTCCTGGGTTCAATTCCATAGTGCCTCCATTAAAATAAAAATAGTTGAAAATAAGCAAATAAGCCTAATTACCTTCTCCTGCTGGGGGTGGGGGTGGGGACAGGTGGGGGGGGGTACCAAAAAAACAAAAACCCTAAAAACTTCCCACAAAAAAAGCTTAAGGGCCAGGTGGCTTCAACAGTGACTTCTACCAAACTCTGAAGGAAGAAAAGATACTAAAGTCATACAAATTCTTCTAAAGAACAGAAAAAAAGAGAACGCTCCCCAACTCATTTTGTGAGACCAGCATAAATTTGATACCAAAGAGGGACAAGGACATTGCAAGAAAGGAAACATTAATGGCCAGTTTCGCTCATGATCATAGATGCAAAAATTTTGAAACTAAATATTAGCAAACATGTCCAGCAATATACACAAAAGGATATTACATCATAATCAAATGGGATTTTTTTCCAGCAGTGCTAGGGTGATTTAATGTTAAAAAATCAATCATAATTCGCCACCTAGAGGTGAATAAAGGAGGAAGATCGCTTCATTTCAATAGATACAATATCTGATAAAATTCAACGTCTATTCATGGTAAAAATCTGAGCAAACAAAGACTAGAAGCAGACTTCTGTAATCTGATAAAAGGTATCTTGGCAAATATTACGTAATGGTGAAGTGTTAAAAGCTTTCCCTTTGAGAGCAAGAGCAAGACAAAGATGGCCTGCTTGCATAATTTCTATTCAGCTTTGCCCAGGGGGTCCTAGCCAGTGTAATAAAGCAAGAAAAAGAAACAAAAAGATTAAGGGATTCAATGAAAGAAATAATAGTGTTCTTATTTGCAGATGATACCATTTTGTATTAAAAAAAAATCCTAAAATGTCAACATAAGAATTGTTAGAATTAAGGGACTTTAGCAAGATGGCTAAATAGCAAGGCAGCTAAATTGCAAGGTAGCTGGATACAGAGATTACAAAGATCAGTATACAAAATTCCAATATCAGTACATGAAAGTCTGTGGACAACGACAGAACATTAAAAATTTTAAAGATACTATGTAAAATAGCACTCAAAAATATAAAATACCTCAGAGTAAATCTAACTGAAGCTCTTCAAGCTTTCTAAAGAAAGATATTCATGGGCTGGACAACTCAATATTTGTAAAATACCAGTTCTCCCCAAGTGACTTACAGATTCATTACAACCTCATTGGGTGTTTTTAGTATGTAGAAATTGACAAACTCATTCTAAACTATGTGTGAAAATGCAAAGTATCTTGGCTATAGCCAAGGCACTTTGTTAGGACTGTTGTAAATACTACAAATGATTGTTGAGTAATTAAGGGTGAGGTATTGCTGTGACGCTAGACAAATAGACCAGCAGAACAGAAGAGAAAGTTCATCATCAGACCCACACATGAGTGGACGGTTGATTTATTACAAAGAAGGGACTGTATATAAATCATAAGCAGTCTCAGAAATCATATTTAACTGTCCCTTCAGGGACCAGAAGCCATACAGAAGTAGAAATGTTATCTGCTTCCTCCCTACCTTTTCTTTACTTTTCTTTATTTGCCACATTTTCAGAGGGTTTGTTTTATTTTTCCCCGACCCTCCTCCCCAACCCAGGCATTGCTTTGTGGTCCAAAAGCAACAAAGTAAAAGGAATAGGTGGCGGTGAGCTGGTCCAGGGCAGAAGCTTGTGATAGGAGGACCATGGCATCTGGTCTGCCCAGTTCAGTCCTAATTTACACCTGCTGTTCAGCATAATTGTTAATAACTTTCACTCTCAAAAGTGTTCTGGTTTGGATGGTAAATCTTATGGTCACCCAAGATAAAGGATTCTAGAGGATTTGGCTCAAACTGAACTATCTGAGCACATAATTTAGGATACAAGGGATACAGATGTGGGCTGGAAGGTCCTAATTGACTGAATAATGCAGAAATAATGAAGTAAAAGGCAAGAGCTGGTTTCTGGGTGGATGGTCCAGAGATGATGATTAGGTTAGGTGAGCTGCAGTTTACAGATCTGGAAGGAGGAGTGTGCATTTGCTAAGCTCTCAGATCTGTGAGGTTGGAGATGTCAGACATCTCTGTCTCAGGTCAATCTAATTAGCAGCTCTTATTTAAAGAGAGTAATATGGGTAGTTTCAATTTACGAGATGTACTCCAGAAATAACAGTGTAGAATAAGGGCAAGCCAAGGTACTTTGTCATCAAACTGCTTTGATCTATGAATGACTGGTTAACTGTCATTTACAAGAAACTATAATTAAACTATCATCTTTTTTTATTCTTGAATTTCTTTAGAAGAGTGGTTCTCAGGATGGGATTCTCAGACCCCTAGAGTGTCCTTGAGACTCTTTCGATAGGGTGGGAGGTCTGTGAGATCAAAACTATTTTTATAATATTAAGACCTTATCTGGCTCTCCTCATTGTGTTGACATTTGCACTGAGGCACGAAGGCAATGTTGGGTGAGACTGTGGTGCCTCAGCATGAATCCAGGCGGGGGCACCCAGCTGTTCAAAGACTCACTCAATTGTCCTTCACTGCTATGCAATCACAGTTTTTTAAAAATGCCAGTTTTATGTTAGTATGTCCTTGATGAAGTAGTAAAAATTAATTTTATTAAACCTAGACCTTGAGTCTTTAATGGTCTGGGAGGCAAAAGAGGAGATACATATGAAGCACTTCTGCTAAATATGGACTTTTGAAGGAAAGCAACTTGTTCAGTTGTTTGCGCTGAGAACTGAACTAACCACTGCCATGTTTTGCTTGGATAAATAACTGGCAGGCTTGGGTGTTTGGCCTCGAAAATGAACAAAACGAACCTGTCACTTCAAGGGAAACAGCTGACAGCATTTGTTGCCAGTGATAAAGTGCAGCTTCTAAATGAAAATTAGAATTTGGGAAACTTTTATCTGCCCCCGTGCACTTGACAGCTTCCTGGTACTTAAAGCCTTTTCTAGTCAGCTTGATGGCGATATTAATGAATGTGATTTTTGGTGACTGTAAAATAAAGTGTCTCAGTATTTAGAAAGTCTGCATAACTCAGTGAACCAATATTTTACAAATGACCAGTGTCATAAAAGCATGTATAAGTCCATTCAAAGTACAAGACCAGAGATTTTAATCTAACAGAAGGTGAAAAGTTCATTAATACTATTTCAGAGTTTGTATTGCCACTAACCTTTAAGGAAATACTGTTGCGCTTTGGTGTGGTATTGAAGAAGAATATTTAACTGAACTGTTATTTGAATATTATCTGGAAAGGCTATTAAAATATTCCTCCTTTTCCCAACTACATATTTATGTGAGGTGAGATTTTCTTCTTAAAATAACTGATGACAACTGATTGAATACAAAGTATATGAGAATGCTGATGTCTGATACTAAGGAAATTTTTTTTAATGTAGAATTCTTCTCAAATTTTTTGAGGGGGAGTTGGAAAAACATAGTCAATTTTATGAAAAATGTTGACATGTAATAGGTTTACTCTTGTTATTTTAAAATGAGTGTTTAAAGAATGTCTCAGTTTTAATTTTGATTGTAATAACTGTTTGTAAATACGGTCCTCATAAACAGCGGCTCTTGGGATTCTTCACTTTCATGAATGTAAAGGGGTCCTAACACTAAATAGTGTGAGAACCACTGCTTTAGAGCACTAGTTTTCAGCCTTGATGAACCTCAGGGTCATCAGTGGAGTTTTAAAATCTGCCAGTGTCTGGGTCCCTCATTTAATTGGTTAGGGTGTAGCGTTGGTACCCCCAGGAGATCCTAATGTGCGGCCAGGGTTGAGAACCACCAGGCACTGGAGACGAAGGGGCCCTGGGACTTGAGCTGCACCCTCTTTGGGTCTGTAAACTAGAGCATTTCTTCTTCAGTCGTCTGACAGATTGGCCAGGCGTCAGCTGTTCTCCAGGATGTGTACTAGACAGTGTGTATGCTGTTCTCAGCACTGGGGATTTGTTGTGAGCGAATAGAAAAAGTCCATGCCCTCAGGGAGTCCGTGTTCCAGGAGAGGAGATGGAGAATAAGCCAACAGACAAATAGGTCTTATTTGTCTTCAGGGCTGGGGGTGGACCTGATAAATACAATGCCAGAGCCAGGGTAAGTGGTCCTGATGCTTGGATGTGCTCCACCTTCAGACCAGGTTTTGGCCCCGGGTTGCTGCCATCTGCGGAGCTGGTGCCTCCTGAGCCCCAACAAGCACAAGCATCGTCTGAAGCCACCTCGTTTGCTTCCCGAGGGATCTACTCTGAGGAGATGCCATCGGTGGCCCGGCCTCGGCCTGTTGGGGGCACCACAGGTACATGTGACTGTCGGCCTTGTATTTTTGGCTTAATTCCGCGGCGAACATTTTAGACTTGGCAGGGTCTCAGCATCCCAGTGTTCAGTGGCCTCTTTCGCTGGTGAGAGCTGCCTTCCCTTGGATCCCGGTGGAGACGTAGGGCAGGGGAGGTGGGAGAGTGGCCAAGATCCCAAGACTGATGCCCTCTGATTTGCTCCTGAGTCAGTGTCTCAAAAACAGTCCCTTCACATGGAATTCACAGCACACCTCTTCCAGGAAAAACATTTCTAAAGCCTTACAGTGAACTGAAAGACCTATTTCTGAGTGCTTGCTATGGCATTAAAACAAGCACTTTAAAAAAAAATGTAACTGTAGTTGATCTGCAGTATTGTGTTAGTTACAGGTGTATAGCTTCAGATTTTTTTTCCATTATAGGTTATTACAGAATATTGAATATAGTTCCCTGTGCTGTACAGTAAATCATTGTTGCTTATCTATTTCGTATATAGTGGTATATGTATCCATTCAGCGCATACTCCTAGTTTATCCCTCCACCTCCCCTTTTCCCTTTGGTAACCATAGGTTTAAAACAAACACTTTTATTTATTTTAAAGAAGGCCTTTTCCAGTTTGTAATAAGCAACTCAAAAGTTGATGGACAGAGACTAGAGGGAGCTTTTTGTTTTATCTGGTCACTTCTGGGAGGGTACAACCACTGTTTTCTCCTCAAACCTTATCTCCCTTTTTAAAATGTTCTTGTTATCTTCCCATGCCTCTGTGCTGTCCCCTCCCTGTTGTCACATGCATGGGCAGAGTCAGGCGGTGGAGGGCCTGTGGGGAGTTGGTGGCCATGTGGAACTGTTCTAGTTTTTTCCTGCCTCCTCTCTTAAGTCGTCATTAAAAGGACAATCTTAGTGGCATTTGTGTGTAACCAGCACAGCTCTTTTACTTGATAATTCAGCAGTGAAAGGCCACATTTTCTCAAGTTTTCTTCTAATTCGTTATTAAACTTTTAAGTTTTTGCACACTGCTTTTGTTTACTTTTAGTATTTAGGTTTGCTTTAATTACCTGTTGGAATTCAAATAAAAATCTCTACCAGATTATCTCCACCTAGGAAAAAAAGCTCTCAGTTTATGTTCCTAAAAGAATATAATTTAAAGTGTCTAATTTCTGGGGGTGGGGCGTGTAGCTCAGTGGTAGAGGATGTGCCTAGCATGCACGAGGTCCTGGGTTCAATCCCCAGTACCTCCATCTAAATAAACAAACAAACAAACAAACAAAGAAACCTAATTACCCCCCCCCCAAATTATGAAGTGTCTAATTTCTGGAAGTCTTGAAGCCAGAGGGAAAATAAATTTTGTGTTGAAAGGATTCTAAAATATATAGATGTGCTAAAATATTTTTTAATTAGTTGTTTGAGAAACATTGTGTATAACTTAGTTTACTTATATAAAAGTATAATATTTAGTATATTCAGTGTAAACATACAGTGTGCTTTTTTCAGACCACAGTTAAAAATTAGGAATTACATTTTTTATGTGTTCACTTTTGTCTTTTTAGAAAAAGAGCTATAAATACCTGTATTTTAACAATCTTAACACTCTTAGTTTTTGTCAGTTTTGAGATGCATGTAAAGATTTGAGAAAAGGAAGGGCTCTCAGAATTTTGGTAAAGCATAAAAGGTATAATGTTTTCTGAATTGAGTGTCCTCAATAATTACATCTAGATTAGGAATAAATTTATTTTCAGAAAATGAGCTGAGTAGAAAAGAAAAAAAAAAACCCTTTATCTCAGAGTCTCCTGGGAATTTTGTGATCATAGTTGAACCCACAATAAATTCTTACCAAGTTCAGTAGATTCTTGACATTTATGAGGGGTTTGTTCTGAGATCTTTGTAAATCCTTTCAAACACTGCTGTACTTCATAGTTGATTTCACTAATCAGTCCAACAGAAGTGTAAGTGGACCAGCTAAGAGACCCTTCCAGACCCCTTGTGAGAGGCACTGTTGGTAGATTGCAGACAGTACTCAGCATGGCTGAGCTGAGATTCTTAAAAGGCAGTTGGCTGATCGTCCTCACCAGTTTGCCTGAGATCCAGCCTCATAGCCCCAAATTACAAATCACTGATTCATGTCCTGAAACTTCATCTCATGAATAGTTGATACTGTGAGCACTAATTTGTGCATATCACTCAGTGTTCCTTAAACACCTGTGTACTTTGAGATTCTGAGCCCTTTGTTTCTTGTGCAGCTCTGCATACTCTTAGAAAGTCCTCAGAGTTCATTACTCCATCTTACTGCATTTTATTACAAGGGGTCATGGTCACTCCTTTTTTCCCCCATTTGCTTTCCCTCCTTTTGAAGACTGATGTTTTGCTAGGAGGAGCCATTACATGTTAAATAATTTATTTTGTTATTTTCTAACTTTCTGGAGTATATCCAGTTTTATAATGTCATCCACTAACTAGTTTATTCCAATTCCGAATTTGCAATAATAGTGGATAATTATCCACATGGTCTTCTTGCAGTTCTTGTATTTTGCATTGTCTGTCAAGCAACAAAACAAATAACGTATCCTGATAACTTACAGGATTTCCCACACTTTCCATGTGCTATGCTTTGCAGTGAGTCTTATTTCTTTTGTTAATTGTTATATATTTAAACTTGTTGTGTAGAACATATACCAAACAGAATTCAGACATATTCATTTTTACTCTAGAAGAATATAGATATTATATGTGTGAAACATTTGAAGAGGAAGCTATTTTTTAATAATTTGTAATAAGAGATTAAATTGTATAAAATTTTATAATGGAAGAAATATTGAGATATACTAGAAAAGTTACTTTTCTGAGTATGTAAAATTATCAAATATGTATGTGTCTAAAAATGACCAGAAACAAAAGGAAAATACTACCTTGGAAGATTTACAGCAGGTATGACCAAGGGGTGTTTTTATTGTAGAGAGTGACTCATATAAATTGCTAAATGGGCAAACTTTAAAAGATAAACAAGCAAAGGACAGAAAGGACTACAAAGGAAATGTGTGTATATCACATAGAAGTAAACATGAAAAATGCCCAGTTTTGAAAATGACTGAAGAAATGTGAATTAAAGCCATGATGAGGCACCAGTTCAATCATGAAATTGTTTATAATAATGGGATGTGGTAAGATTAGCATCCAGTTTCTTCATCTGTACAATGATGGTAACATTAATGCTTCCCTCTCATGGTTGATTGGTGATTGAAGAAGGTAACAGATATAAAATGCTTTAAAAAATGCCTGGAGTGTCATAAACTTTTAATAAATATTAGCTGCCATTACTATTATTACTGTTGTATTATTTCCAGTGTTGGTGTAAATCATTAAACTTTTGGAAAGCAGCTTGGCAATGTGACTTCATGAGCCTTTGATTTGGTAATTCCACTTCTGGGAACTAGCTACCCCCCGCGCCCAAAGAATTCCAAAATACTGGAGGAAAAACTACATGTACAAAGATGTTTATTGGAGCATTTATTCAGAATAGTAAACAGTTGTGAGCTCCCTTGGTACCTACTTATAAGGGCATCAATGAACAAACTGTATAGCATAAAATGAAGAACTCAGAGCCAGAAAAAAGAGAGTTTAAGATTTCTTGGTTACATCCTATGCATTTTTGTACTTGACCTATTTTATCTCTTTTAATCCTTGAAATAACACTATGGAGTAGATTTTTTTTTATCTCCGGTTGAGAAGTGTAGCATTGAGGCTCAGCAGGAGTTGGTGGCTGGGTGTCCAAGGTCACGGGCTTGTCTGTGGCTGAGCTGGAATGCAAACCCAGGCTTGCTGGGCGTGATGGGCCACTTGAATCATGGGGTGAGCCTGGGCTGTCTCGTTAGGTGAACAAAACAAGATACAAAATGATGTCTGAACTATGATTTCACCTGCTGTTGGGATTTTAACACAAAGGTGTGCTTTTCTCCCTAGAGCAGTTGTCTGAACCTTTACAAATGATGAGGGACCCTGTGCTGCATTTCTGTTCTTTCCAAGATTTGTTCAAACAATGTCTGTTGGGCAAACACTACCGATCGTTCTAATAATTTTAATACTGTTACGGATCTTCAGTAACTGACAAGTGTTCCTGCAGAATACATTTAAAAAAATGAATTTGATCAATGGAAGCTGTTAATTAGACAGCTGGAGTAGCTGTAGGCTTGAGGATGGAGGGGGCCACCTGCCTTACCTCTGTGAAAACTGAACCTTTGTAGGACCAGTCTGAGCATCAGATACGAATTAGATGATCCTAGGAGCATTTGGAAATAGTTATTTTATTTCATAGTGCTTAAAGGTCAGTTTTTCCTCCCTTAGTCTGTAGTAGGGATCTTTCCCTATGCTGAAAGTTGATGGAAGTGAAAAATATGTTGTTTAAAGCCTGGCCTTCCCAGCCACACAAGGTTACAGCACATTAAGTGTAGAATGGACGCTAGAGATCGTCTGCCTTTGCACCTGTACCCCTCGCTAAGGAGGCTGGGCGGGTGGCTTTAAAATTTCTATTATGGAAACAGTGTGAGAATAAGAAGAAAATACTTTTACATTCTGAATTTGAATAAATACATGCCCTGCCTGTTAAGGGGGAAAAAGAACGCATATAGTATTTTCAAGTCCTTGTAAGTCTCAGAGCCTCAAGCAAGAAAGAGCCAGGTTTCAGCTTCTCTGTGGCTCCAAAACCTTTCACACCTTCCTTCTGAATAAATCAGGTCATCCTTATTTGTAGCCTCTGCAGAAACGAATGGACGGGCCCTCTGTTATTTTCTGGATTCCCTGTTCTTTGATGTCTAGCCAGGAAAATATGAACCTCATTGTCAGCCAGTGTTTTGAAGGGAAGTAAAAACCCACGAAGCAAGAAGCTCAGGGTGTGTTTTTCTTAGGAAATGTCATTCTCTGGAGGTAGAATTGGGGCGACAGTTGAACGACGCTTGTATCCCGAAGGGGGTGCCGGGGTCAGGACTGAAGTGTCCTGCTGGGCAGCCTCGCTCCCCGGCCGGTGTTGACCAGCCACTCCACTGTGTTCCTCCAGGCTCCCAGATCCAGCACCTGACGCAAGTGGGAATCGCAAGCAGAATCGGAGCTCAGCCAGTGGAAATCCCACCGGGCAGAGGTGGCCAGTATGGGGGACCAGGTTGGCCTTCATACGGGGAGGACGAAGCCGGCCGGAGGGAGGCCGTGAGTATCTTGTTTGGGGCCATCATCAGACACAATCACTTCATGTAGCTGCTGCTGCTGCCGCCTTGGGGAATCAATTTTTAAAACCTACATGAAGTTTTCACCTCCCTCACTTTTTTCCCCTTGAGTGTTATTTTTTCCTTGCAGTTTTTAGATGGTAAATTCCCTCTGACCAGAGTGGGAGAGTATTGGCATTGAAATTTGGGAAAGTATGTAATTTTTCTTGAGGTAGATTTCAGGCTTGAAGTAGTGAATTTAAAAAATAACTTTAAAATAATAAAAGCAGGGGTCGAGGTATAGCTCAGTGGTACCACACATGTTCAGCATGCACAGGGTCCTGGGTTCAATTCCCAGTACCTCCATTCATGAAAAAAATTTAAAAATTTAAAAGCAGTATTCATTACAGAAAATCTGCACAGAGACCTAGGTAACAGTTACTTTTTTTTTCTTATTTTTTTCAATTATGGTAAAATACACATAACATAAAATTTACCATCTGAACCATTTTTAAAAGTGTACACTCCAGTGGTTTTAAATATGTTTGTAATATTATGCAACCATCACCACCATCCGTCTTCATCATTCTTTTCGTCTTGAAAAACTGAAACTCTCTACCCATCAAACACTAACTTCCCATTCGCCTATCCTCCCAGCTCCAGGCAACCACCACTCCCTTTCTGTCTCTCTAATTTTGACTTTTAAGTAGTGAATTTGAACCTGGAGGTAACTAAAATCTGAACTTGATCTTTGGTGTGATCACTATATAAATATTCATGATCTTATGTACTTACTTGCTCACCATTTGAGCTTTATTGTGGGTTTGTTAATGCCACTCCCATTATGACCACCATGAGTAGAGGCTTTGCCATCAGGTCACCGTTTGGGACATTTCAATACACAAGGTATCTTTTGGGGCTTCTTAGCAGTCTGATTGTTCCTTTATAAGAACAAAATCAATACGGGCACAAGTAATTTCTATAAATGCTTTCTTTCGTTTTTCTCAAGAACTTTATATTCAGGGGGAATAAATTAGTGAATCTGGAAAAAAAACAAACCAAGGTAATGCTTTCTGTGTTGTCCTTATTACTAAGCTTCAGCTTTCACTGTGTTTATGCGTCTTCCTGGCAGATACACAAATTCCTTCTGTGACTGGGTGCTTTTACTCACTGAAAGGAAATTAACTTTAGAATACGATTTTCCCCTGAAAAACATATTGTTATACTCATAATCTCAGGTATCTGCTTTACATTTGCCAACAGTTTGCTTTTTCTGTGCCCAACTTAGTTTCCTGAGATGTTTCAGGTTTTCCTGTCAAATCCGATGTTCACTTGAGATGGCCTTTTTATCGCCCTTTGGTGAAGTGAAATATAGAAGTATTCTAGGCCTCGAATGTCAGGTTGCTCTTGGCACAAGTGAAACCACAGTTTTAGTGTGTGTATGTGTGTGTATTGTGTGTGTGTGTGTTGTTCACTGAAAGAAAAATGAAAAAAATCACTGAAAAAGTGTAATTCTTGTCAAACGAATGCCCAGTTAACCTATATTTTGCCAATGTCAGCAAAACCATTGTGTATTTTAGTGCAGATAACTTGTTAAAGAAAAGGGAGCACTGGTGTACAGACACACAGACACACAGACGGACACACAGAGTGGAAAGTGGCTTTGTGATCCGGTCCCCGTTCTGTGGTCCCAGGCGGTGCCCCCACGCGCACCCCCTTGGGCTCCAGACCCAGAGCAAAGGCAGTCGTTATTCCTGTCGGTGCTTCTGCTTATCTCTTTGAACAGAGAGCCCATGCCCCATTCAGCTCCCGGGGGTAGTCCAGCCTCCCGTCGCCTCCAGCTCCCCGGGTCCCTTGCTGTTCCCCGACTCACTTCCCGCAGCGCGGCGCAGGGATCAGCCCGTGGGGTGACTGCCCGCCCGTTCATTCTGTCTCTAAGCAGGTGTTTATCAGGCACTTGTTACGTTCATGGGTGTCTTCACTGTTGGGCTGTCCCCCGACAACTGCTCAGCACTTTCTTCTGTCCATTCCACTCCTGGGAGGCCCTCGCGGAGGCTGAGTTGTCGGGCGGGAGGTGGGCAGAGCCCGAGCGGCCAGGTTTTGCACCGCCCTTCCCTCCGCTTTGCCCTCGGGAAACACATAACGTTTGCCATGTTTTCCAGACACACGTGCGCGGACATCAGGAGTATTCTTCTTCACCGCTGTTCCAGGTGCCGAGGACTGCAAGCAGGGAGCCCTCAGCTCCGCCCGGGAACGTCCCGCACAGGGGGCTGTCGGGCTCCGGGCTGGCTTACCCCACCAGCTCCACGGAAGACCTCCAGCCCGGCCACTCCTCCGCCTCCCTCATCAAAGCGATCCGCGAGGAGCTCCTCCGGCTCTCCCAGAAGCAGACCGCCGTGCAGAACTTCCACAGCTGATCGGCCTCGCCTTGCAGATTTGCCAAGTATCCGCTTCCCGTGGAAGCAAGACTAAAAGGAAATCAGCTGAGCCGGGGTTTGTAAGAGGACGAGCATCTCCTGGGCTCAGTGCCCAAGTAAAGGAGCAAGCTGCAATTATAGAAGATGCCATAAGTCACATGACAGCTCATGACGCTTTTGCAAAGTTGGCGATTTTGTGACCACTTGGGTTCAGTTGAAATTTATGTACTTTTGGCCACAAGCCAGCAGCACTTCACAAAAGACAAACCACAATCCCAAGCTAATGAAATTACTAAGTTAGTCTCTTTTTTTAAAGGCAAAAGATGAAAATGTGTAGATGGCGTAGGGATGAAGGGCGTCTAGTATCTCCGTGGGAAGATGTGATTCAGGCTGGTTTGTACGATGGACCTGCTGCTTTGTTTTCTGAGAAAAGAGATTTGAAGACATTTTGTTAACAGCTTGATTTAAACCTCTTTTCCTCCATAGGAACTTATTTTAATAGTAATATTACCGACAAGAATACTAAGACTGGGGATTTAAAAAGCTACTAGTGAGAAACCAAATGATAGATCGTAGAGCCTGATGATTCCAGACGAAGCATCACCTGCATTTTCCTTCTCCTTCTGGTGCTACCGCTCCAAGAGCCCCTTGACCCTGTCTGTGAAATGCAGCTTTGGCTTTCTCAATGGAAGAATTCATTTTGAAGGTTTCATTTTGTTCTAGAAAGAAGGAAAAAAAAAAAAACCCTCCCCAAATGGGGGCTAAAACTTAATATTTATTTGGTTATTCAAAATACATATCAAAGGTTAGATTTACATTCTTAGTTGCCTTTGCTGTTCATTAATCGGGCACAGGCAACTATAGATAGCATCTGATTTTAGTACGTATCTTCATCAAGGCCAGTCCTGTAGAATGAGGCTTTCAGGGGGTCCTAACGAATCCTTGCACTTTGCCGAGGAGTTGCTCCCAAATTGGGTTTGAGTGAGAAATCTTATGTAAGCGAAAATTATTTATAAAAACTCCTAGGGCCAGCAAATGATTATTCACCAATAGAGGTAATCACATTCCCTGAATTTTAAGATCTGGACACAAAACGGAGTTCATTTCAGCCTCTTTGTAATGAATCAGGAGCTGGAAGGAAGAGCTTTGAGACCACGGGGGAAAGGAGAGAGTTGCTCCTAATTTCTGATGTCATTCTGCATGGCTCTGCTGAGTGACTGTTAAAACCATCTTATGTACCCTGGGCCTGACAGAGGGACCCTCTCACTTGAGATGGACTCCTGAAGTCAACATTTGTCCCCTTCCCAAAGCCGCGGGAGGAGAAGAGTAATGAGGGCCGTTCTGTTCTCTGGTACCTGAGTGAGGTTAAGAAGAAAAGCAGGCATAGATAACAGAGTTCCGTGCATCCTTTTTGATTTGATCAGTTCATGCTTTTAATTAAACAACAGATACACAGGCAGAGTTTGGGCTCTGACTAATCAAAATCTGTGTATCTGTGTCAAATTTAAAAAACCCTGAAACAGCTGAAATGGGTTCCCAAAGTGTAATCACTGGGTTCCAGAATCATGTTTCTGCCCTTCCTTCATGAAGTCTGTTGTACGGGCCCACAGTCTCACAACCCAGGGAAAATTGGTTGTGGGAAATTAAATTGTGGCCATTTTTCATCTTTACACCTTGGAAAGAGGAGGGGTGCAGAAAGGCAAGTCTCTTGAGGATGCTAAATAAAGCAACGGAATCACCAAAGGCACCTCTCACAGGCTCCAAAGAGTGTGGGAGAAAGGCCCCCGTCTGGGCTGGATTTCTTACCTCTATCTTGCCTTTCTACCAGATTTCTCCCGAGTGGAAGATTCCCTTTGCATGTCATTCAAAAACACCAGGTTTCCTGAATGTGTAATTAAAGTTTCAGAGATCCAAGCAGAATTTTATCACGGATGCCCTGCGGTGAGTTCAGATGGTATGACAGCTGCTGGAGTCAGTGCAGACCTGTCTCCTCCCGTTCTGCTCAGCGTCCTGAGGGTTCGCAGGCAGCGTACGAAACGGCTCCTTCCTCTGTACGTTGAAGAAACAAGCCTCTGTTTTCAACGGGGCTGCAGTAGTGAATTTGATGCCTTGCAAACTAGCATAAGGGGATCCTATCTGTATTTTTATTCTCAGAACCGATATGCTTTTAAACCGATGTCAAGACGGAAGACTGTAATAAAGAACCTGTGGTGTGCGGTGGGTGTGGGCAGGCCGGTGAGACCCCCAGCCCTCTTGTGTTGGTCGTCAGGCACACTCAGTTTGCCCTCAGTCTTATGGCCACCAGACTCAGAACCAACACGCTGTCATGGGAGCCCCACCTCCAGAGGGATCTTCAGACCCTCAGTGAATGTGATCTCCTTAAACAAAAGGTCTTCGTGGCAATCACACGTGGCTTTGGAATTCTGTTTATTGAAGCGCTCCAAAATGAAAAGTTAAATTCGGTGTCTGTTCTTTTTTCCCCATTTTTAAAGTTCTAGTGGTAATAACATGCAATAAATTTAAGTCAGAATTTTAGAGAAGATTGTTTGGAGAAACGATCATTTTCAGAATCTACCTTGTCACTGACTTGCTGTGTTAGGTCCCTTCTCTGAGCCTCATTCTCCCATCAGCCAGAAGAGAATGGGCCTCCTCTGCCTACCCCCCAGGATTTCTCTTAGTGAGAATCAAATGTGATCATGTGTGCAAACGTCCCTTGAGGAGGGAGCACAAAGCACTGTGGAAATGCAGGGTGATATCTGGGTGATTGCGCTGGGCTGGACCAGCTGATGTGCTGTGATCTCCCAGTATGGGGGTTCATGTGGAGGTAACCAGAGCAAAACCAGAGGCCCTGTGACTCCTCTTCCTCTCTCCTGTGTTGCTTTAAATTCACTTCCTTCGCAATTAACTTTCAAACAGCATTTATTATGCATCTTTCTGCTCCTGATGTTCTGCTGTTTCTGGCACCAAGTAAGTCAACACAAGACCTGCCTTCTGAGATCTTGGAATCGGACAACAGAGACGGGCATAAGAGATGGAAGAGACAGAAGGATAACGCAGTTTAAACACCAGTAAAATTCACGGAAAGCACACAGGTGCATTAGTTACTCAGAAGAAAAAGTGAAGGTTGCACATTTGGAAATGGTGGGGTCTTGGGGAGAAGTTGACGCCAGAAGCTACTTTAAGGAAGACAGGAGCTTCCCAGGCACCTGGTGAGATGGCACGGGGAGAGCTGGGAGTGGGCCTGGGGAAGGATGTAGAAAGTGGGTGAAGTTGCCATTGAAAATGACCTTGATCCTGAGCTGCTCCAGTAGGGGACAGAGTCCCTCCCAGCACTGTCGAGGGAGTTCTGTAAGAGGAGCAGGTGATGTTATGAGGATTCATTTGCAGCGATACAGAGAGAAAATGGTCAGGCCTGGGAAAAGGTCTGCAGAGGAAGAGATCCACTCAGGAAGGGGCTGGAGCGGGGAGTCCCAGGCACGGCTCTTGGCCTGGGTGTCGAGTGTGAGAAGAGTGAGCTTCGCACCAACGTCTGCTGCTGACAGCAGGTCTCAGTGGTCAGCCATTTGGCCATGTTACGTCCCTTGTGGAGCATAGTGGGTTATAAATAAATGTATTTGACTTCTTTACGGCGACCTACACATTTTCCTCCAAATTATATTTCATTTCAGAGTGCGTTTTTACTTTGGTGATATGTGGCTTTTGAGCAGCAGACTAAGCTGGTTTCTGCCAACCAGGTTTTTCAGGGCAGGAGGCGTGTGATGCAGGGCACAGGTGAAGGTACGCCTGGGGGCTTTGGGCTGAAACAGGTAATTCTGTGCTTTATGCGCCTCCCGTTGAACTGTGTACAGGGTCAGTGTCCACACTGCATTTGCGCAACTTTGTAGCGCTCCGGTGAGCAAAGCGGTCACCCGGACACGGATTTGCATTTGCAGTAATTCAGGAGTTAATCATTAAATACACTTCTCTATCCCTTTCATACGAGATTCCTAGACATGAATGAATTTGTTGGTTGGAAGGAAAGCTGGTTAGGATTCTGGGCGGAGAGGGGAGGGGGCTCCAGTCTTAAGTACCGCACCCACTGCCATTTCATTTCTGCCTCCAGAGCCAGTCCCCAAAGCCAGTCTCCAGAGCCCGCTTCCCCACCTTGGTCCCCGGCAGGACGTAAGGGAGTCCACTTCTCCAAAAGCATGTCGATTGTTGGAACACAAAACACGTTTTTATGGGATGGGAGCTTGAACTTTGTTTTTACTTTTAATTCAACAGCTTAGCAGACAGCTGAGAGGGGTTTCTCTGAGCAGTTGCTGTAACACACTCAGAATTGCATTGGGCTTAACGCTTGTTCCCAAATGAACAAGGAGTCTGTGCATTTCAGGTTTCTTTTGATATTACTGGAGGTGATTTTCAGTGTTTAAACGAGGACTCCTTTTGCTAATATTGAAAAGACTTGAAAACCGAAACCTCACGATACAATCCTGATTCCATGCTGTGTGTGTAACAGTACACTTGACAGTTCAACACGCAGCAGCATTGACATTTAGGGGAAAAATATCAAACGCCTTGGAAACGTGAAACAAAGTTGGGAAGCTGCAAGCAAGTGAAAGAAGGAAGGAGTGTCTCCCTCTGAGGCACCCTCATCCAAATGAGTTTCCCGCAGGTAGATAATTATGCCGGATCTTTGCTTTTCCTTCTTCCTTCAGATTTTTCTGCTCTGGGACTGCTTCACATTTAAAGAAAGGTTGGATAAGTAGAAGGGACAGAGAGAAAAATGGAAGTGATTTGGGTCTCGCAGTCCCTGATTCCACGGAATCTTTCTGAACAACTTGGAGCGTCATGAATAGCCCCTTCTCATGCCCACCAGATTTCAAGCATTCATAACTTGACTCCCTAAGTGTGCAAGGCAGGAATAGTACCGGGCTGGGTTCTAGCCAGGCACCTTTTCCTCTGCAGATGTGGGGACAGGAGGAGGAGGCACTAGAGGAACAGAGGCTCCACCAATGTGCTCAGTTGCCCTGAGCAGCAGAGGGCTAATTTCAGAAGAGGCGAGTAGAAACTCTCAACTCTGCCCTCCTCCAGGGCATGGTCTAGGGAGCACAGAGGTCGGGTGAGCCTTATCCTTTGGGAAAGGCTGCTTAGCAGAGCTGCTCTGAGATGCCCACTTGTCTCCTCCTACTTTGTCAAGGTCCATGTTCTTCTGACTTCCTCTCATTCCCCAATTAGGAGTGTTAATGTACGAAAATATGCAGAGTAAATTGAGGCCACTCGTGGCATCAATACTGCAACTTGAACTTGACAATCATGGTTTGCTGGTCTCAAGACGGGCACTTAAATTTCAGTATGAGTACATGATTTAGTGATGGAACCCTCCCTTCTCTTTGTCGGTTATGTTTCTACCCTTCAATTAGCTGCACTGTTTTCTAATGTGCTGTAGAGTTTTTGAAATAATTTATGCAAGTGTTTGGTTTCCATGTTTACAGTTTATACAGCTTTCCTAGCATTTTAAATGGAAGTGTCAATAAATGCTAAGAATTGGTGTCAAGTGATACTTTCTGTTTACTTCCTTTGCAACGTGATAGTTCTCTCATTTGTAAAATGTGAAAGTTGAATGGGATGCTTTTTTGTTCTCTAATGCCCATGTCCCTGGTGAGAACACCTGCTATTTTCATTTTCCAAGGAATTAAGTTAAAGGGAGTCTATTCAAGGTGTGGAGTTTGCTTAATTGTTGTCACTCACATTGGTTGGTGCCATTCCCTTCTACTCATTGCTTTGCTTTATGGCTTCCCAGTAATCAAACTGATGCTTCCACTAAGAGCAGATTCATTTTGGAATTAAAAGATTAGGACTAGAATCTGGAAAGAACAGAGATCGAAGGCGGCACAGTCTTGAAAGGCAATAGGATAAGCCTGGAGTTGTTTACGAAACTCAAGAAAATAAAAACCCCTTGAAACAGAGGAAAGCAAGAGGAACTACAAAACGCGGTGGAACACGACAAAGGAATGAAAGGCGGAAACCTGCAGACAATTCTGGAACAACAACAAAAAGTTATCAGTGGAAAAAATGGTGAAATCCAAATGAAGTCTGTAGTTAGTATAGTACAGAGGTTAATTTATTGGCTTTGCTAACTTTACTCTGGTTATTAAGACTTCAGTATTAGGGGAAGCTCTGTAAAAGGTATACAGAACCACTCTCCATGATGTTTGCAGTTTTTCTCTAAATCTAAAATTAATTGAAAATGTAAAAATGAATCTGGTGCAGATAAAGTCCACAGGCCCCTGCAGAGGCTGAGATGAGCCCGCCCTGCGCATCCACGACCCGGGACCTCCCTCGCTCCTCTGGGCAGCCAGCCCCTTGCTGAAGCGGAAACCACAGTTAACAACTGCAAGTCTCCGCAGAAAATAAGCCTTCATGAAGGAGGGGTTTGTGGGACCAACCAGAAGGAGAATCTGAACCTAAAAATTAGAGAAAATAGACCACGATGACAAAACCTTAAAGAAAATATGTTTCAGATGTTTAAAGAGGCTAAAAAAACAACAACAACAACAACAAAAGAACAGGATATCAGGAAAGTTTAAGCACATATGACGAAACCAAAAATTAATCCTTCAAAGAAAAAGGGACTTAAAAACATACATATATACACACAATGACCAGAGACTCCAATATTTTAGACCTAACTGAAGACGTCATGATAATAGTTTTAATATATCTTTATGTTTTAATGAATATGCTTCAGATTACAAACAGAAATCAAAAACACAGTGTAGACTAACCGGTACACCTCGTTCGCCTAAGAGATTTTACATGCTCTGGATGTAAATAGGTTCAAAATGGTAGAAGAATAAGGAGTCAAGAGGAAGAAGGTCAGGCTGCTCCCACACCCAGAGCCTGACCACTGGGTTGACATGACTATGAACTTAAACCACAATTGGCATCTCATGTGGCTCTTTCTCTTCCACGTTGCACCTGCCAAGCACAAGTTAAGGTAAAAAGAAAACCAGAAACAGTAACAAATAAGGGAGATCCTTTGATCCAGTGCCTGGGTTAGATAATTAATGAAATTTTTGTTTGTTTTTGTGTATGTGTTTGAAAAAAATTTTTTTTACCTCATATAATTACCATTTTATTGTTGTTATGAGAACACTAAAGCTCCACTCTTGGAGCAACTTTTCCGGGTATACAACACAGTATATTATTAACTAGAGTCACCATGCTGCATTAGCTCCTGGGACTTACTCTCATAACTGAAAGTTTGAACCCTTTAACCAGCATCCCCCCAGCTCTTGGCAACCTACTGCACAGCATAGTGACTATAGTTTATAATACTGTGTTGTATACTTGAAATCTTTTTTTAATAGACTGTTGTTTTAGAGCAGTTTCAGGTTTACAGCAGAATTGAGCAGAAAATACAGAGTTCGCACATAGCCCTCTCCACCCTCACATATATACTCCCCTACCCTCAACATCCCTCATCAGTGTGGCTTATTTGGTACAATGAACCAAGGTTTGCCTTCAGTCTTAAGGTACTTTCTCTGAGTATTTGATTCTCAGTTAACTGCTGTTTTCTTTCATTACTTTAAAGACATCATTCTGAAGTTTTCTGTTGACCATAATTGTCTTTGAGAAATCACCTGCTAGTTTAGTTATCATTTTTCAGTTGCTTTTCTTTTTAATATTATTTTAAATCTATTTTTATATATAGTGGCTAACATTTGCAAATCTCAAACTCCCAAATTTACCCCTTCCTACCCACTTTCCCCCGATAACTGTAAGATTGTTTGCTATTTCTATGAGTCTGTTTCTGTTTTGTAGATGAGTTCATTGGTATCTTCTTTTCTTTTTTTTAGATTCCACATATGAGTGATATCATACGGTATTTTTCTTTCTGTTTCTGGCTTACTTCACTTAGAGTGACATTCTCCAGGTCCATCCTTGTTGCTGCAAATGGCATTATTTTATTCATTTGTATGGCTGAGTAGTATTCCATTGTATGAATATACCACAACTTCTTTATCCAGTCATCTGTCAATGGAAATTAAGGTTGTTTCCATGTCTTGGCTACTGTATATAGCGCAGCTATGAACACTGAGGTGCATGTATCTTTTTGAATTAAAGTTCCCGCCAGATATATGCCCAGGAGAGGGATTGCTGGATCATATTGTAAGTCTAT